TCTTTATCTAGTTCTTTCTAATATTTATAATATTACAGTTTCTAAATTTACGACTCCTCTTGTTTCTTGTGATGTTCACCATCCATCTTTACTTATAATTATTCCTATTAATACTTATAAGCCTATTGATTATAATTTATTTACTATTGATTTTTACTCGTGTAATTACTCTGATATCATTAAATGCTTAGGCTCAATAAGTTGGGTTGAAATATTTTCAAATCTTAATGTAAATGAAGTTACAAATTTATTTAATTCTATTATTTATAAAATTATTGATATATTTGTTCCAAAAAAAAATAATAACTCATCAAAAATATCCTATATGGTTTGGTTTGTAACTAAAAAATTTAATATTTAAAAAGAAAATAGCTCATAAAATCTTTAAAAACTCGTGCCATTAACGATTATAATAAATTCTCATTTGGCTCTCTCTAAATTAAATTACCAAAATTATTTAAAAAATATCCAGGAAGATTTTAAACATCAACCATCCAAATATTGAAAATTTATTAATGAAAAACGCAAAAAAACATTTCTACCTGACTGTATGTATTTAAATAATTCTAAATTTAACTCTCCAAATTCTATTGTTGAAGCCTTTGCTCAACATTTTACTATTGTTTTTGAACATTATGATAGGTAACTCAAAATATATTGATCTAAGTGCAGTTTCTCCGAATAACTCATTGCTAGCACCTTTATTTTCATGTAAAATCATTTTAATCAAAGTTTTTAATGCTTTAAATAACTTTAGTTCAAAGTGTGGTCCTGGACTTGATTTAATTTCAAGACAGTCTTATCAATAATGTAAATTTGTCCTCTCTTCTCCTCTACTTTATATTTTTAATTTATCTTTATCTAGTGGTATTTTTCCTGATAGATGGAAAACAAGTATTATCCTTCCTATACCTAAGACATCATATGACTTATCGAATATTTCTAATTACAGGCCTATCTCTTTACTTTCAACTGCATCTAAAACATTTGAATCTATTGTGTCGGATATGATAACTCCTGAACTTGACAGAATTATTGTTGACGATCAACATGGTTTTAGACCGTCTAAAACAACTACTACTAATTTACTTACCCTTCAACATTCCATAATTGTTGCTTTTTAAGCTGGTTTACGTATGGACGTTATTTATACTGATTTTGCTAAATCTTTCGATAAAGTTAATCACACTATTCTTTTACATAAATTAAAATATATTGGCGTATATGGTCTCTTCTTCAATGGATTGAGTCTTACATTTCACAGCGTACTCAAATTGTTGTTTATAAAGAATTTCAGTCAAAACCAATATTAGTTACTTCGGGTGTTCCTCAAGATTTTCATCTAGCCCCAATTCTATTTCTAATATATATTAATGATAGTACCTTTAAAACTATAGTGTAATAAAAAATATAATACATGTATATTTAAAATAATTCTCACTAGAAAACTTTTGTCTTTTATGCAATATTTAAATTATTTTCATACGTATAAATAACTATTCCCAATAAGTACTACAGGAATTGAATGTAAATAGTTAATTCAATTATTATGGAATCAATGTTTGGTATATATTTTATATGTAGCTGTAAATATATTATTGTTAAAAATAATAACTATAATTCATAATCAAGGGCTGGTTTTATCACTAACCAAGGGAGGGGCTAATGGAGGTTTAAGAATTTAGTTAGTTGGTTTTTTAAATCTATATAAAATTTTAAATTACAGAATATGTTTTTGAGTTCCTCATAAGTAAGTAATTTTTTTCACAATAATGACAAAGTTTAAATAGTTACATTATTGGTATCAATTTTAATCTGAAACCATTTTAAAATATAGGTAAATACATATAATTAATAACAAAAGTGAGCTATTTATTTATAAAAAAAATATATGAAATAGGTACCATATTCATCAATGACCATTAACAGAATTTTATTATAATTGATTTAATATTTTTAAAGAAAGTATCATCAATCAGTTAATTATATATTGAAAAATAAAAGATTTATATATATATATATATATATATATATATATATATATATATATATATAAATAATCTATTTAAATTTATATAATGCGCATCTATGAACTTACACAATGTCACTTGAATTGTGATCTATATCATGCAGGTTTAAAAGAGATTGTTGTATCATAGTCTATGTCTTTAACTTGTTATATGTTTTTTGGAAGTTTAGGATATTATTTTATTATTCCTTATTGCTGTTATAAGCAAATTTATTTTTATTAAGCTTTATTGAAATAAATTCCAAAAATCAAAATGTTTCACCGTTTTTACAATTAAGTACTAAAAAGCTTATATAGATAGTATAGTAATTGCCATTGGTATAAAGATATACAATATTAAAACAAGATTTATATATTTCATGATTATTATATACTTTGTTATGTTTTGGTATCTATTTAACAAATATATAAATGTTGTTTATACATGACACTGTAATAATTACTCTTAAATTTGAGATTTAATTATAAAAAATTAATTTAATAGCACATAACCAACTGTAACATAAATGTCGCAACACGCAATTGGCTTAATAATTACAATATAAATTAATATAAAAATAATGATATAAAATACAAATAAAAAAAGGATGGATACCATTTTTGAATGTTACATATTGCAGTAGAATATTAACAAATTATGTAATACATAAATGATTAAAATATAAATTAAATAACAATTTTATAAACTTACAATAGAAAATTAACAAGTAATGATTAAAATATAAATTAATTAACAATTTTATAAACTTACTACAATAGAAAATTAACAAGTACTGATTGAAATATAAATTAAATAACAATTTTGTAAATTGACTATACTATGTTTTGGAATATCATTTAATAATAAAAGGATACAAAACCTGAAGTTGGAGAAGAATCTATTGATCACCTTCCTAATAATAATAAAATTAGCTATCAATATTTTATATACATTAATTTAAGTTAAACATTTGTATTTCAACAAACCTGTGGATATTATCCGATTTCATCTTGAACATATTCATCAACACAGTGTCCAGCTCTTCTCAAAAACATCAACAAGTCACCGTCTTGATTCAGCTGCTATACGCATTCTCTTATCATTATAGATGTATTTTCCCTCTCTTTTTTGCACATTTAATTTCTAACCTAGTAAAGTACATACAATTTAAAGAAATGAACCATAATTGAAACTCAAAAAACTAATTATATATATTTTATTATCATGCAAGTATGACTAACATACAATTAATTAAGCAAACATATTAGACATAAAATTAAGTATATTATATATATATATATTAAGTATTAGTATTTGAAGTAATAATTATTAAAACTACTCAACATCAGATTAAGCATGTCAAGGCAATACCGCAGTTAAAGCAAATAGAGAAAATATTGGATAATAAAAATTAATTATATGTAATATTATATCCAAAATAAAATATCTAAAATGCATATTAGTTTATCTGGCAGGTATTATCATAATAAAATGTTATTTACCTTTGTATAATGAAACCAACAACATACTAATTGACTATTTGGAAATATTTCCCTGATAGCATTCATAAGAGCTCGTTCATAATCAGTGACAAAACTTATTCTATTATAACGAAGAGGTAAAATATTGCGTATTACTGTAAATAATGAAGAGTAAGTTTCTTGTGTTTCACTCCTCAAAAGGGCATAGACCATTGGAAATGCCTAAATGAAAAATAAAACATATTAAATAATATCTTAACTGTATATTAACAGTATTATAACCAGAAGGTATTGCTTACAACATCTTTGTAGAGTACTTGAAATGTTAGGAAAGATCCCCTGGAACTTGAGGAACAGTTTTATATGTGGCATCTACTCCAACCAGCTCTACAGAAGTTAACTCTTCGCGATATCTATAGATCGCATCAATGTTGGCAAAAACAACTGCTACACTAATATCATTCATAATCAGTTATTGTTGAAAAAATGTTGAGGGTATAATTTGAAATGTGGATGGTTTGCGGTGTTTTTGGTCTCCGCAACCTTTTCATCTTTTTCAATCTTTCTGAGGACTGGATGCACATAAACTTTGTGGCTACTTCTTAGTGTCTACCAATATTACAGTTCAATTACAAATTACAATTTAAAGAACACTGTTAGTCAATTGTTAGCAAATAAATATATTAATAATAAAATAATGATTTTAATAGTATTATAAAACATAACAAAAATTAAATTAATCTTATCATAGAAAATTGTCCTAAATTTTGATTTTGTATTAAAACATGCTACAAGAAAAGATCATTAAAATTTAATATCTTTAAATCCTAACATATCTAGTAAAATAGAAGCGTATTAAAATAATTAGTTTCATTTGAGTTATAATTTTATAACTCTGACATTGCATACACATAACAATGATTATACAATAAAAGTAAACTTACCTAATTATTTCACTGTTATAAATGCTTAGAACTGACGATGTTGTAATTGTATGATCAAGACCTCTTTCACTGATTGCATCCCTCAAGAATGGTACATATAAGTCAAAACTAAGTAATTATTATTATTTGATTATTATAAAATATAATCGCTGAAAGTTTTTTCATGAAATAATCGCAGGTGATAGTCTTAAACAATAACCAAAGTGATAATGATTTATAATTTTAAAATGTAATCAGTAAACCGTTAAATATATAAAATACATAAACACAGTATATCCTAATTCTTTGGCGTTAAATTCCTGGCAGTAAAAATTTTGATTCCGAACAGTTGGTGTTTCACATAGACATAATATTATATTATGTCTATGGTGTTTCATGATAAAATGTTTTCTTATCATTTTTATCTCTTATCAATGAGGAGAACTTACCCAAGCCCGAGGAGAACTGACCTAAACCTAAGCATTGTTGGGAGCATTTTATTATCGTCTGGTAAATTTATTTTATTTGTTATTGGTCCCACTGTACCGGGAGATACTTGATAACCTCAATTCACAATGTTTCTGTTTAATGTTAGTAAACTACATTTGATCATTACTTCGATTATCTTTATTGTTTTGACGAGTTTTCTTCACTTGATCTGACGATTAGGACTCATTTCTTCAGGTCTATACTTACGTGAGTATTTCTTTAAATTTTAGCAGTAGTTAAATATGAAAGTAGTAACCTAACAGTTTGTCATAATAGTCTTAAGTAATTTAAGAATCTAATTTTGTTATAAATTTATTTTTATTAACATATCTATTAGAAGAGAAATGGAAACTTTGATAGAACAGCAACGTCGTTACCACGAAGAACGCGAGCGCTTGGTCGATAGTATGGTGAAAGAAATGCTGTGGAAGAAACCAACAACAAGAGATGTGATAAATTCAGAACATAGGCTTAAACTGTTGCTTGATCAATATATGGAAGGAACTAATAAGCTAAAAGAGTTTTATGAAGATAAAGATGGCTTACGTAAAGAAGAAATTACTTCAATTTCGGGACCCAACGAGTTTGCTGAATTTTATTTTCGTCTGAAAAATATTAAAGATTTCCATAAGAAACACCCCAATGAAATATCAGTACCACTGTCAGTTGAATTTGAAGATTTAAATAATCTTCGGGAAAATCCTTCAGAGGAAATGTCTAATATGGTTGATTTTACAGATGAAGAAGGTTATGGAAGATATTTAGATTTACATGAGTGTTATGAAAAATATGTAAATTTAAAAGGAGTTGAAAAGGTTGATTACATTACTTATTTATCCATATTTGACCATTTGTTTGATATTCCTAAAGATCGCAAGAATTCAGAGTATAGAAAATATGTTGATACTTTATTGGAATACTTGCATGGTTATTATTTACGAATAAAACCTTTACATGATTTAGACAATGAAATGGATACTGTTCGAAATGAATTTTTAAGTCAATGGGAAGAAGGCACTTTTCCTGGTTGGCCTAAAGATACTAGTAGTGCTTTAGCCAATGTAGGAGCACATTTGGACTTATACGCCTTTTCATCTTGGGAAGAGTTGGCTTCCCTTGGACTTGATCGTTTAAAATCAGCTTTGATGGCTTTAGGATTAAAGTGTGGTGGAACTTTAGAAGAACGAGCTCAGCGGCTATTTTCTACTAAAGGAAAAACTTCATTAGATCCGGCATTGTTAGCCAAAGGTAAACCTGGAAAAATGAACCGTAGTAAAGAACAAGAAAGGCAAAAAGAATTAGCAATGCTTGAGGCCCAAGTGTATAAATTTTGTGAACTTTTAGCAGAACAAAGATTAGCTACAAGAGAAAATGTTCAAAGAAGACAAGCTCGTACCGAAGGAGAACGTGATGACTCTGAAAATGAAGCAAGTGCATCAGAATCTGAAGAAGAGCAAGGTGAAGATATACCATATAATCCAAAAAATTTACCTCTTGGTTGGGATGGAAAGCCAATTCCTTATTGGTTGTACAAATTGCATGGATTAAATATTAGTTACAACTGTGAGATTTGTGGTAATTTTACGTATAAAGGTCCCAAGGCTTTTCAGCGACATTTCGCTGAATGGAGACATGCACATGGTATGAGATGCTTAGGTATTCCAAATACTGCACATTTTGCTAATGTTACACAGATTGAAGATGCTCTTGCACTTTGGGAAAAATTGAAGACTATGAAGCATGATGAACGATGGCAACCTGAAAACGAAGAAGAATTTGAAGACTCTCAAGGTAATGTAGTGACAAAGAAAACTTATGAAGATCTCAAGCGTCAAGGTTTATTATAAAATTATAAAAATTATAATTATTTTAAATTAAAATATAAAACATCATTTATTTAATTAGAAAAATAACATTTAAAATTATCATTTTTATTATTTTTGTTTTTTTTTTTTTTTTTTGTATCTAGTAGGCAAAATAATTTACCTTATAATATGTAATCATAATATTATCAATAATAAATGATATTAATTATCACTTATATTCATCATATGACTAGAATGGATTATTAGAAAAGTAATAAGTATTAATTATAGTGTATGATTTTATATGGATACATGTACTTGTATACTTGGTACTTGTACCTAACCTTTATTCAAACCTTCTAAGCTGAATATAAATGTATATCAGCTGTCATAATTTTATCTAAATTTGCATTTGTTATCTTTGGTATTATATAGACTGGAATTAATGATATAAAATAGAAACATTAATTAATCAGAATTATTGAACAACTGATAATATAAAGAGTATTTATATTTTAATTTAAGTTTTTTAATAAAATTTGTTTCTTGTAAGTGAATACTGAACTCTTCACGACTTAATTTATTTCAGTAAAATGGAACCGGTTTTTGTTTATGGAACATTAAAACATAATCAGCCTAACAATTATCATCTCAATGACTCTAAAAATGGTTGTGCAGTATTTAAATCGTCTGCCAACACTTTACAAAAGTATCCCTTAGTAATATCAACTAAATATAACATACCATTTTTATTGCTAAAAGAAGGTACTGGATATGTAAGTGAAAATTGTTAAATAAAACAACATTCAATATTTTATTGTAGATGATAATTTTAGGAAATAAATGGTGAAATTTATGAAGTTGATGCAAAGATGTTGGCATTTTTGGATGAATTTGAAAATCATCCAGATTTTTATAATCGTCTAAAGACCAAGGTCAAATTGCAAAATGAAGATGTTATTGATTGTTGGGTGTATTTTTTACCAAATTACCCGGATAATTACTTGGAATTACCTTACTTTGACAATTATGATTCTTATGGTGAACATAAACTTCCATATGTCACAAGGTACCAAAGAGATCCAGATGACAAATTGTGGTTTCCTAATTGGGGTAATTTTAGTTCATAATGTTTAAACCTTTTACAGTGAAGAACTAAAATTATTAGAATAAAGAATCAGCATTTCAATATAATCAATAAAGTAAGTTAAATAATATTTATATTAGTCCAATATTTATTTTGTAATCAAAAGTGTACAAAAATCTAAAATTATTATTTGTTCTACACTAGTGCAATTTTTCGAGTAAAATAATATTGCACTTAATGTTATACAAACAAATTATTCAATAATTGTAATTTTTTCCATACAAAATAAAGGTGCTAACAATACATTTTAAATAATTAATAATTTCAATAATAAAAAAACACTTTCTTTCAACTTTAATTGACTAGAAATAAAACAATAACTTGTAGTGCTGCCAAAATTTAACAAGTTAATAAATATAAATAATTTTAAACAAATTGCATTATCATTGATTTATTGCTACTGAACAGCTGTTAATGTCAATGATATTTATTCTATAACATTGCACGTGCTGCAATACAACCAGTGCTACTTCTTCACGGCCTAATTCAGTTAATCGATCAATTAACATCCCTGAAAAATGAATTAACACTATGTTAATATTAAATTTATTAATATTTAGATTCAGTGCTAATTATTATCAGTGTTTGGAAACAATGTGTATTTACACATTCATGTTCACATTTTGTAAATGACACGCAAACATCACTCGCTTTTCTCATAAATGAGGTTGATATTTTTAATGAATTTGAATGATTTTTGGGGAGTTTAAATTTATTTATAATTTCAAAAATATATATATAAACAATAAACATTAATTATATGTAAAGTGGTTAAACAATAGATAAAATATAACTAATACATTTTTTAAGATCCCATTTATACAGAATGTACGTTCATAAATAAAAAATAAAAAATTTAACTGAATGGCCAAATGAATGTGTTCATTTTTTTGTAAACCTTGAACGAAAACGTGTTCACTTTAATAAAAAATTAACATTAATCTGAATAAGTTATTTTTTCTATGCACTGAATGTAAACGTGAATGAATTCAATTTTTAAGTGAACGTTTCTAACACTAATTATTACCAATTGTTGGTGCAGGTTGAACAGTTGTCCATGTATCTATCAGTGCTAAAAAGGGACTGGTTGGTCCGTTGTCAAATAGTTGTACTTTTGAATCCAATCCAATGTTGAGAGCAAATAATACCCAGTCTCTACCTAATGGATGCACAGGATCAATAAGACGACTTAATTCTTGTCGACACATGATACTCAATTCTGTTAGTGGCAAATTTTCTGTACTTAACAACATGGTTTCCACCTTGAAATATTAGTTTATAAATACAAGTGTTTTAATAAATATATACCATTATTAATAGAATAAATGATCACCTGATCACACCCAAAAGCAATTATGTCCAATATACATTCTTTTTTAGTTTTTTCAGGATCAATAACATGAGATTTGAAATCAGAATTTTTTCTTACTGCATAGAATATATCATCAACACCATAACTGCGGGGCTTTGCATAATGTTCAGACAAATCTGAAGGGCTAAGAAATTCTTTGATTACTTTTAATCCTGGACATGTTTCAATTAATACCTAAAATAGTAATTTACATTATATTACCTTATTCTAAGGAAAAAGTTTAAAAAAAACTATTTTTACTAGATTAATGGAGTGCAATATTTCTTCTAGAAAATAAAAGCAGGTATAACTTGATGATTTTGAACCACGTATTTTTACTTCAATACAACCATCTTGTTCAAGGGATACCATGCACTCAATATTGCTTATACACAATATAGTACCACCATACCATTGATATAAATAACTGTCCATATCTTCATAATAATTGTTTTGTAGATATCGTAGTTCTACCTGAAAACAATTTTAAAATGATTTAGTAATTATAAATTAAAAAAAAGAAAATTAATAAGTGTTAATACTTGTATTCGAAAAAAAATTGATGTTAAAAGTTCTAGACACTGTGGTTGAGGACTCAGTCGAATGCCACCATAGCAACTATCAACACTTTTACCCCAAGGTTTCCATAATGTTTCATCTTTTTCTCTTATAATATACCCTGGGAATTCGTACTCAATATCTCCATCATTATCATACTAAAAATAATTAATATATATTAAAATATACAAAAAGCAATTATTAATAACAAATGAGTTTAAATAGGAGGGTATTTAAACTAATATCAATAATAAATGCAACACAATTTGATTACTAGTTAATATCAATTAATTTTCACAATTACAAGGCTATTATACAATTAATTACAAATATCTATGTTGAATACAACAAAATATTATTTACAGATTAGTTACAGCAATAACTTTATCTATGTATAAATCATACAGAATTCAATAGTTTTCTTACCCACCATGCAAAATGTTAAGATAATATTTTATAATATATAACCATTATATTAAAGAATAGTATAAATATAGTATGAGCACATTTAATCTATTCTGTGGTATAACTAAGTTTGCAAAATATAAAAAAGATAAAATAAAACACTTTTATAATGCTTTGTTACACTTCTAAAAAATTAAATAAAAAAATATTTTGGAGTAATTTATTATTATTTTGAATCCCTCAGATATTTTGTCACTATTAATCTGAAATTCTGAGTATAGTTAAAATTAAAACCATGTAATAATTTGTCTTACTTGAACACATATTTTCATGGTTTCTAGTAACTGAAGAACAGACATGGCATCATAATGAGGAAACATAATTTGGAAATCATTTGCTTGATATGAACCAGACATACGTGTCTGACTGATTAAAAAGTTAACAGAAAACAGTGTACCAATAATACTTGTTCCAAACCAATTTGGAGATATAACAATCAGATCTGGTTGTAAGCCTGACTTTAAATATAGAACCTATAAAAACAATTAATAAATACATTATATTTTTAAAAATTATATTCTTTAAAAAAACTAGTTGACTTACTTCTCCCAAATTTTGTAGTTGGATTAGTAATATGTTTAAATGTTGATTAGTAGCTAACGGGTTTACTTCAAGATGAATAGTATCGCAAAAAGTCTTCCAAGACAAAACTGGAAAGGGATTTGCAATTTTTCTTAGCTTAGGCAGAAAATGTTGTACAGCTTCACAAAAACCACTCATGCGTGGAATATTCTGAAATCAGTAATAGTCTTACAATGATAATATGTTAATAGTTTTATGGCAAATATTTTAAATAAATACATTTTAAACAATCAAATATAATGCTGAATACCTACTTAAGAATAAAAATAACTTAATTGTAGTGTGTACCCTAATAATAATAAAATACAATTTGTGTGAATCCTTTGTACCACACATTATGTTAGTGCTGTTTGAATTAGATGCGCACAGTGAAATTTCATTAGTGCACATATTTAAAAATAAGATAAATAAAAACAAATGTGCATTAATGAATAAAGTTTAAACCTTAATTCTTGTTATTGATGATTTAGTGTTATAATAGTTTTCCCTAGGTTGATCATCAAGTAATTTATAACCGCCACGAGTGAAGAAGGACAGCTTATTTAATTTGTTCAAACTGTTTATACCACAAACGTCACCTTGGTAGTAACCCTGATAGAAAAGTTGAATTTAACTATTGTGTTTAAATAATTATTGTGTATAGAAGAAAAATGTTATTTTGAATAGTATTTAATTGTTTTTTCATTTTAACATTATATTTAAAACAATAATAATAATAATAAATACTTACATAGTGAAGTTGTTTTTTACAAGAGCTAATGGCTTCTTTTAAGTTTTTAATACTCAACGAATCAACTCCCATTATATCAAAAAATATTAATTGTTCATATATTTGAAATATATGTCCATATTCACTTTTTACAGTTTTAATTAAATTATCAGATGTATAACACATCCTTTGACCATTATGTGTTGCAACTATTAACAATGGCACTAAATGATTTGAAACACCATTTTTATCTAAAAACATTGAAAATATTTACATAAAATAATTATTTCAATCTAATTAAATAATATTCTAGGCTTAGCATTTATTTATTTATATGTATAAACTATTTATTTATTTATATATTAAATGAATAATAAGAGATCATTTAAATATTTTGTAGTACACACTTATTAGTTCAGTAATTTGAAGTCTTGCTTGAACAAAACTCAACCAAAAACGGACAGTTTTCAAAATTTCCATTGAAGATTGTTGCTCATTATAAACAATTACAATTATTTTGTTGGGCGTATTTTGAATTATATGATGATATGAGTTGTAATAAGTATCTTCTCCAGAAAAGTCCCAAAACGTGCATTCATTGATACCTGATAATTTTTCCTAAAAAAAAGTTATGAAACATGTAAATAATATAAACAAATTATATATTTTAATTAATACCTTTTGAACTACTATACCCCGAGTACCGTCATGCTTATTATAGTTTGAAGTATTTGACATATTATATTCTGTTAGACTTATTTCGTTTCCATTATTGCATTGACCTTGCGATGTAATAGTTCCTGTTAAATATAATTATGAAAAGAGTGTCAATCAAACCAATTAAATGTGTACTTACTGTTGTTGTTAATTGTTCTTAATGTATTTCGTGACTTGTCAAGTAGTATTGAAAATAAACCTAGTTTCATTAACCGTATAATTGATGACTTGCCAGCGTTGGAATGTCCAAAAAATAATAAATTTGTGTTCTGTATGTACTCATTTTTTATTAATAGTTGCTGAATATAGTTTTCCCTTGCACTATTCTGTAGTGGAAAATAATAGTAAAATAAAGTCATTATCAATAAAAACATGTTTAGACTGAGTAAACTTACAGTTTTTAATTTAGTAAAAATAGACACTATTTCTTTTTGATTATTTTTTATAGCAGTGATTTCAGGTTTAATATTATCTGCACTACGCTGCTGAGGATCACTCCCGGCTATGCATAAGCACCTAATTAAAAGTTTTAAATTATATCAATACTATTAAATAATTTTAACTATTAATAAAATTAAAATATATTACCTAACAATTTCAACATGTCCATGCCTGGCTGCTATATGTAATGGATATAAACCTTGACCGTTTGGATACTCAAAACTGTAGCCCAATTGTATTATTGTTTTTACGCAATTTATTAAACCTTCTTGTACAATAACGTGAATTGGAGCATTGCCTTCCTAAGTAAAACAAATAAATATGATAATGATTTATTTAAAAAAAAAATATTAAAAACATTTTTACATTATTGAACATTTCTAAATTTCCAGGAGCATTGTGTAATAAGTATATCGCAACATTTTCATGTTTCTCTGCAATGGCTAAAAGCAGTGGTGTATCCAGATTTTTGTTTACAATATCTGCTGTGATAGTGTGTTCTGCCAATATCATTACACACTCTAAATATCCATAACGACTTGCAACATGCATTGGAGTATCTCCACTCTAAAAATAAAATAATAATATTAATAACAGTATTTGATATTTTAGACTGTCAGCATTGTTATACATTGTTTTGTTCGTAAGCAACTTGTGGCTGTTGTGAAAGTAGACTTTTAATCACAGATATGTTTCCATGATGTGCAGCCAAATGCAGTGGAGTGTTCCCATTAAAATCTCTGGAGCATACACTGCTGTTTTTCTTTAACAAGACATCTACGATATGTTGAAATCCGCAGGCAGACGCCAAGTGCAGAGCGGTTTGTCCCTTCTAAACATGCATTAATAATAATTTTATGACCGTCATGTGAGTCCATTACTTGTTTTATGTACAACAATGAATGCTAATTTCAAAACATTTCTTAACATCATTAAATGAAACAATATTAATTAGTGCACATTTTCATATTTTTTAAAGAAGTATATAAACGTGTAAACTCTTGGTTTGCGTTTAAAGACTATAGCTGTCACTAGCCATGATATCAATGACCACATAATCTTATAGAGCAATTTGAATTAAATAGCACAGGGTAACGTAAGATAAATAACTGCAATACGGGCATTAAAAGACACATTAAAACATGGAAATCATAAAATGATAATAAAATACATTTCATAATTTTTTAGTGAAATTTGTTACACGCAGTTCGGAAGTTCTGACGTATTTAAAATACATAATTAATAATGATTAATATTTAATAGTTGTATCACACATAACTGAGCTCTAGTAATACTATAATATTATTTTCACAGCTAATAATGGAAATAATACTGTAATGAAATGCTCACATTGTTTTCGGCAAAAATGTCCGGGTCATCCTTGTCGATTATGGACTCTGCTAGTTTTTCGTCCGCTTCCTCCAGCGATTGTAGTAACGACGTCATGACTCTGGTACCTGGGTACACACTACGTTATATCCATTCGGTCCACGGAACCGTGGAAATCCGGCAAACAGTACATTCGTTTATAAATAAACGCAATTATTAATTTCCAAAGAACCATTATCGATAATCATTAGCAAACAACAATAATAATGATACAAATAAGTATGGCCAAGTGCCAACTTCTGTTATCATATCGTCGGTATCATTGTCCCATGTGGATAACACGACTATAAATATTCTATCTAATAACCAAGACTATAGATTTATTAATTCGTGTGAAAAATTGTATAAATATAAATTAATGGTCAGAGAAAAAAGTGTTCACTATGTTTAAATTATTCATTATGCGTGTAAAATACACGTAAATTACATTTTATTTAAATTTAATAATTGTATTTAAATAGTTAGGTACAGTCAGGCCCGTATTTATGGAAAGGGGCACGGGTAGGCACATGGCCGGGGGCGTCAAGTCTCAGGGGCGGCAAAATATTTTGGCAAAATTAATTTTAAAAATTATGTACCTAATGAAAATAAATAAATAAAACAATAAAAAAAATAAAATAGTATGTTTTATTATGTTATAATTTGTTAATTAAAAAAAGTATTAAACGATTTTCATTTATAAGATATATTTTAATATTAAAGAATCTCGATTATGGACGAAATAATAAGTGTTATATTATTATTATTTATTGGGGTGGGTAATAAATTATATGTCCGAGGGTGCCGAATTTTTAAATACAGGCCTAGGTACAGTAATGACCAAGGCTAGGATTTGTATGCAATAAAAAATTGTAAAATATGCATTTTATTTACAAAAATATGCAAATATATACATTTAAATTTTTATAAGGTAAACACAAAAATATAGGTACAAAAAAAATATTTATTTATTGAAATACATTAGTGGTTGGCTGTGTATCTTAATATAATATAATTGAGAAATAAAATAAAATAAAATTTATAATTCACATTCAATACGTGAGTTACATGCTCGATCACATACTTATTTAAATTTTCGAAAATTAATGATCGACGATTGGATCGTAGTACGGCTTTGTATTGACTGAAACTCCGTTCAACGTCACATGATGTATTTGGCAGATATTTAAATAAAGAAATTTGTCCTGGGGTTAGGTTACAACTGAAATTGTCCTCGTCCAATTCGCCATTTAATATTTTATATATTGATTGTAGAGTTTTAAATCCTTTATTTTTTTTTTTTTTTTGTAAAACCAAGGATATTTTGTTCATAACTTTATAGTTTTTATTATAAAAATAAAATATATGTTTAATAAAAAAACCAAGTTTTATACTTTAATCAGCAGGGCTAGAATTAAATACTAAATATTAATATAAATTATGAAATATACCATAAAACAGAGGTTCCCAAACTATGCGCCGCGGCGCCCTGGTGCGCCGCGGTGTGTTGTCAGGGGAGCCGCGGCTAAGCCTCGATGTCAACTATGTTATCTGGTCTAAAAATAAACAACGATATTTTATGATGACGAATACCGTCATTTTTATTACCATTATCTTGATTCCTACAATAAGTTATTATTACTATACTAATCAATTATTGTATTTGATATAGATAAACGACTGTTCGTGTCTGGTGAAATTCGTTTTTGCGTTAGTACCTATTTATTACCTATACACGTATATGTATCAGTCTCGGTGTATTATAATATTTTGTTAAAGTTTCTTAAGAATATATATATAGTAAGTTCTGTGATTTTCTTTAAGTTGTAACTTTGTTCTGTGTTTATTTATTATGGATCGATTTTTATTAAACAATCGTAAACGTACGAGTACATGTGAAGACGAAGAAATTTTACCATCAACCAGTCGCGGTGAAACAGTAAAAAAGCGAAAATGTCATCAGTATGATGATAGTTATTTGGATTTTGGTTTTACGTCAACAGAAATTAATGGTGAAGAGAGACCACTATGTGTAGTATGTATGAAAGTTTTAGCATCAGAATGCATGTTGCCGAGTAAATTGAAGCGCCATTTAGAAGCAAACCACAAGTATATGATTGACAAACCTCGAGATTATTTTATTAGAAAGTTAAAAGAACTAAAACAGGAAAAAAGTACGTTTTTCAAGAATGCACCAATACCAACCAATACTTAGATTGCATCTTATAAGGTGTCCTATAGAATTGCGAAGTGTAAAAAGCCCCATACCATTGCAGAACAACTTATCTTACCGGCTGCTATAGATATGGTAAATATTATGGTTGGTGAATCTGCTGGGAAATTACTCTCAAAAGTGTCTTTGTCCAATAATACGATTAGCCGCAGAATTCACCATATGGCGGAGGACCTCAATGATCAGTTGATAGGAAAAATCAAAGAAAGAGAATTTGGGTTGCAGCTGGATTTGATATGCTATGTTAGGTTTATAAATGATGATGTCATGGTAGAAGACCTACTCTTTTGTAAAAATATTACAACAAGCGCCAAAGCTCAGGACTTATTTGATATTCTTAATAATTTTATGTCAGAAAATATGTTGGATTGGACTAAATACGTCGGTGTTTGTACTGACGGAGATCATTCCATGTCTGGCAATTATGGAAGATTACAAACACTTATTAGAAGCAAAGCCCCTGATGCACTGTGGACCCATGACATTATCCATAGATAAGCACTTGCGGCAAAATATCTAAGTCCCACGCTGAACCAAGTATTAGAATGTGTAGTGAATGTAGTCAATTTTATAAAAACTCGTCCACTGAAAGCAAGATTTTTCAAAAAATTATGTGACGATATGGGAGCTGAATACTCAAGTTTGTTGTACTACAGCAGTGCACGATGGCTATCTCGTGGTAATGTTTTATCAGGTACGTTTGAACTACGGCAAGAAATTTATATATTCCTCAAAGAAGAAGGACACAAATATGCCAATGAATTTTCTGACGAAAATTTTTTAATAAAATTGGCATACTTGTGTGACATTTTTTAAAAACTGAATGCATTGAACACCTCATTGCAGGGAAATAATATAAACATTTTGAAGTCGATGGATAAAATGACAGCGTTTATAAAAAAACTCAAACTATGGAGAAGACAAATGAATGAAGACACGAACAAAGATTCTTTTTCCATATTGCAGCAGTTTCTGACCTCTAATAGAGTTGAGATTTCTCAAGATATGAAATCCATTTTTGAAGATCACTTATCACAGCTATTGATATGGTTTGAGAAATATTTTAAAAATGAAGACACTGATAAATTTGCATGGATTCAAGATCCATTTAACTCCATTGTTCCATCAGAATTTATTTCTACTGAAGAAGAAAGTCTAATTGAGTTGTCTTGCGACAGTACTTTGAAATCAAAATTTTTAAATATGGAATTGACAAAATGTTGGATTTAAATAAAAAATGAATATCCCCTTGTATGTGAAAAAGCTCTACGTGTTTTAATTCCGTTTTCTACTTCATATTTATGTGAAGCTGGGTTTTCGGCGGTCGCTGTGATAAAAAGCAAATATCGGTCAAAAATCAATGTGGAGAAGGAAATGAGAGTAGCAGTATCAAGTTTGATCCCAAGATTTGAAAAATTATGTAGTGATGTCCAGGCTCATCCATCTCACTAATTCAGTTGTTTTCTACAAATAAACTATGTCTAATTTACTTTACCTGATAAAATTAAAATTAAATATTTCAGTGTATAATTATATAAAATAAATATTTCCATATTATCTATTAAAAATTATACATGTTTGTTATTTTATTTATTTTATTTAAATTAATATTCTTGTTTAATTTAAAATTTTTTAAATGCTTATTTTAGTGTTTATAATGATGTTTTTATGCGCTTATTTAACGATTTTAAGTGCTATAAGTCCTGAGCCCTGCTAATAACATACCTACCAGACATAATATTAGAAGTACAGGCACCCTGTAGCGCACCGGTGCAGCCGACTGACGATTTTTGAAGGGCTATAAATAGTGAACAGTTAAACTTAGATAAAAACTGTTTGTACGACTAAAATCATTGAGAAATCCAATTTTTAAAATTATGTTTTGTAAGATGACAGCCGTCAGCATCAATTTATTCTTCTGCAAATCCCTCCGACAGCAACTTTTTTCTATAATGCGAGGCCCATTTTCATCTTTTTAGAACTAAAAATAAGCAAAATGTTTGCTATTGAACTGAAAATAATCCACAACGGCTCCATGAAAGACCACTTCACTCTCTTAAAGTAACACAATAAGGTGTGCTGTGTTCCGAGTGATCGGCATTTTTTGAGGAGGAGAACAGGACAGTCACTATCACTTCCACTCATTATGTTGTAATGTTAGAAACTTATCTGCAGCAAACGTTGGAGGAAATGGTTGATGAACTTGATTTGAGAGGTGTATGGTTTCAACAAGACAAGACCTCAGCGCATTCCGTTCGAATTTCACTTGCTGTTTTGTGACAAAGGTTTCCTGGGCGATTAGTCTTTCTGAAGGGTGACATTGGCTAGCCAGCACGCTCTCCTGATTTAATCACGTGTGACTTTTTCTTCTGGGGCTACCTAATGGATAAGGTTTTCAGGCATTGCCCCCATACCATAGAAGACCTTAAAGAAAAAATTACAAAGGAAATTGTGGACATACCCATCGAAACGTCCAGAAAATCATACGTTAACTTCAGATAACGTTTAAAACAGTGTATTGATGCTGACGGCCGTCATCTTAAGAATATTATTTACAAAACATAATTTTAAAATGGGATTTCTCACTGATTTTAACAGTACTAATAGTTTTCATCTAAGTTTAACTGTTTATTATTTATAGCCCTTCAAAAATCGTCAGTCGGCTGCGCCGCACCCTGAATAATGACAAAAATTATATTATAGAATACATGTACAGATTACAAATTAAATAATATTTTACAATGTATATAAATTTAATTACATTTAAAAACAATATGTTAGATATAAAATGTCAGTAAATACCTAACATTCACACTATTTATAACATAAAAAAAGGAAGCTACCTAATTAATAAAAAAATATTATTTTTAATTTTTACTGTCCTTAAAAATAATTAATTTGCTGTATCACATTCTTAGAGATGGATTATCATTATTTACTTTTAAGTTGTAATTTACTTTCATTTTTATGTATGTTGATGAAATGGATTTTATAAATAAACTTACATGATCAGATAAAGGACTATTACTTTCTAAACTATGTGATTTTAAAGAATTAAATATATTAAATGTATTAATTATATATATGTTACGGGTAAAGTAGGAAATCTGGGCATTATTATACAATGCCCGAATATTTTGGCCAATTTATTTATTTATTTATTACAATATATACTGGTTTCCCCTATAAAATTAAAGTACAGTACAATTTATTAGATGTAAGAATGAACATTTTAATACCTCAAATTTATCATACATTCACCGGATATTGTACTAGATTGCCCGGGCAATGTGTACCCTGCCCAGATTTAAATACAGTGCGCTGCATACCATAAGCGTGCGCAGACCTCTTATTAAGGGTATGCAATAGGCTGCCACTACCCCCCCCCCAAAAAAAAAAAAAACTGAAAGTTAATTTAAGCGTTCGAAATTCTGGTCTTAATAACTATTTAATTTAAAATTTTAATTTTTTCCCCCGAAAAAAGTGACTGAATAGCCATTTCTTAATCGTTATAACTGTCTTCATAATTAAAATTTAAAATAAATTACGAAAAAAAAAATTAAATACATAACACTTGAAATGGTTTGAGTTCTTCTTTTTTTTCTTTCTTGGTTTCGGCCATTCAAGACCATACCTCTAGATAAACATACTGCCACCTATCTCTATCCTCTGCTACTTCCTGCCAATGAATCTCCGGCTCCACTGTTTTGGCGTCTCTCTTAACGCAATCTTCCCATCTTAAGCGCGGTCTTCCAAGAGGTCTCCTCCCCACTGGGTTTTCCTCTATTACTCTTCTTATTAATGAGTCATGCTTTCTCCAGGCATGTCCAGCCCAAACTAGCCTTCTTTTTTTTATCTCTTTCAGTATATCCGGTCGCTGGAAAAGGGATTGCAGTTCTTCATTGTGTAATTTCCTCCATTCATTTGTGAGAACATCAAAGTATGGCCCATAAATTTTCCTAAGTATTTTTCTCTCAAACACTGCCATCCTTCGTTCTTCAGTCTTTCTCAGAGGCCACATTTCTGCTCCATAGAGGACAATTGGCCTTAGCAAAGTTAAGTACATTCTAACTTTTAGGTTCTTAGAAATTGCTCTTGATCTAAAAATTTTACTAAGTCCAAAGAAACATTTATTAGCTGATTGTAATCTCATTGAAATCTCTGTTTTTATGTCGTTATCTTGAGTTATAATTGACCCTAAGTATTTGAATTGATCCACTCTTTTAAATTTGTATCCTTCTACTTCAATGAATTCTTCTTGTACCAGATTCCCATTTCTCCGACTGACCACCATGTACTCTGTCTTTTCTTCATTAATCCTAAGTCCTACTTTCTCCGCAGCCTTTATAAGTGATTTTCCCATTTTTATTATCATCTCTCTACTCCTTCCCAATAGAGAAATATCATCCGCATATGCCAGAATATTAATTGTCGATCGTCCTAACTCAACCCCTTCACATAAATTGGTTTCTCTTACCATCTTCTCCAACACTAAGTTAAATAGTATGGGAGAAAGCGCATCCCCTTGTCTTAAGCCTGTCACCACTTCTACTGGTTGTGACAACATATTTGCTAGCTTTACTTTGATTCTTGTTCCATTTATACTGTACTTGCCTCTACAAGATTAACTAGCTTTTTTGGAAACTTAAATTCCCTAAGAATATTGATTAAGCTTGCCCTGTGGATAGAGTCATAGGCTTTCTTGAAGTCCACAAATAATATATACACGTCTTTATTGAACTCCCACATTTTTTGAAGGGTCTGCCTAATCACAAATATTTGATCTGTTGTAGATCTATTTGGTTTGAAACCTCCTTGGTAGTCCCCTATTATTTCTTCCGCAATCGGTTGTATTCTATCTAATAAGCAATATGCAAGAATTTTATAGGTTACGTTTAGTAATGCAATTCCCCTATAATTGCTGCATATCTGGGGGTCGTTCTTTTTGTGGATAGGGCATACTAGCGCAGTATTCCACTCCTCTGGGAGTCTTTCCTCCTGCCATACCATCTCAATAATATTATGTATTCTTGATACTGTTTCTAATTTTTTTAATATTTCTCCCTGAATCCCATCTTCTCCGGGAGATTTTTGGTTTTTTAACCTTAATACTTGTTGTTTTATTTCATTTCTAGTAGGAGGTAAGCATTCGCAATCGTTGGTTTCTACTAGTGGAAATTCAAAAGTTTCTTCTGGATTTTCGCAGTTGAGTATTTGGCCAAAATATTGTCTCCATTTTTCCAATATCTCTTCCTGTCCTGTTGTCAGTGAACCATCTTCATTTTTCAAAAACTTATTATGTTTTTTGTATCCTCCTCGTATACTGTTTACTTTTTGGTACAACTGTCTCGTTCTATTCATTCTAGAATCTACTTCTGCTTCTTCCAATAAATTCCGAGTACATTTTCGTTTTTCATTTCTAAATACTCTACTTGCGCTTTTCTGACATTCTTTATACGCAATTTCTTTTTCTATATTATGTTGGTCATTAAGCCACTGGTTTCTAGCTTCTTTTCTCCGATTTAGAGCATCTTCGCATATATCGTTGAACCATGGTTTTCTTACAGTTTTTACTTTTCCGATTTCTGACTCTGTCACTACCTTTATAGTATCTTTAATTTTCTTCCATTTTGTATCAATTGAGTCATTTATATCTGTATTTATCCTCCTGATTTTTTCCGACATCAGATACTTGAACCTTTCACATGTATTCACATTGTTTAGTTTAGCTGTGTCATATTTGTCTACCACTGTTCCTTTTTTCCGAGTAACCTTTTTTATTTTGACTTTCATTTTTCCTTTAACCAGATAGTGATCCGAATCACCATCGGCTCCTCTCATCGTTCTTATGTCTTGAATACAGTTTTTGAATCTTACGCTCACTAGAACATGGTCGATTTGGTTGACGTACCTTCCATCAGGTGACATCCATGTTCCCTTATAAATATTTTTATGAGGAAACATTGTACTTTTCACTACAAGACCATTTCCACATGCAAAATCGATAAGTCTTAATCCATTATCATTTGTAGTTTCGTGCAGGCTGTGACTACCAATTATTGGTCTGAATACAGCCTCTTTACCAATTTTTGCGTTTAGGTCACCTAAGACTATTTTTATTCTGTATTGAGGTAGTGCATTTAATGTTAAGTCCAAATTCACATAAAAATCATCCTTCTCTTCCTGCGGCTTATCTTCGGAAGGCGCATGTACATTTATGAAAGTTATTTCGAAGAAATGCGCTTTCATTGTCAACAATGAGATTCTTGGATTTATATCTTTGAATTCCCTTATATTTGGTATTAGGCTTTTGTGTACCGCAAAACCAGTTCCAAACTGGCGTTGCTCATTGCATTTACCATAAAGTATTGTTGTTTCTTGTATATCTATCGTTCCAGTATCATCCCATCTAATTTCTTGTAGAGCCACTAATTTTACCTTGTATTTCTCGATTTCTTTAACAATATTTTGTGCCGCTCCAGGTTTGAGAAGTTGATAATTTAGTAAGCTCAGGCATTATTAATTAAGATAAGATTAGAACGTCCACCGCACCGGCCGGGCCGGGGGAGTTCCTAGTGATAAGTTTACAAAATATATCATTTTAAATATATACATCTCCAAATTGTGTTCTTTAAAATTGTATCGTCTGTTACTTAAAATATGTTTATATATGAAAATGGACGTTCAATGTCTACACTTGTTATCGAAATTTAAAAATTTTGATGTTATAACTAAGTTAACATTTTGATTTCCTGTCATAACCTCAGAGTAAGTTTTAATAGTTTTATATCCTTCAATTTTTTGTAAAATATATTTTAATTAATATTTAACTATTTTCCCATTGGGACCTGGAATATTTATCGAAATATTTTCAATTTCACTAAATATGTTTAAACTATTAAGGAATTAATTATTTGATCCTTCTAAACTTGTGAGTTTTGTGAATAACTCAGATAAATATAATTTTAAAAAAGCTAAACTACATTTAACTACATGTAAAAATGTACGTCGTAGTTATATTTTTATTGTAAAATTATTTTACAAATAATATTTTGTATATTTTATATATTTTATTATTTTTTATATTAAGTATACAAAAATTGCAATAATTTCAAAAACGTTGAAAATTGCAAAAAATTGCATTATTAAATTAATTAGGAAGACTGTGATTAATCCGATTCGTATATATATTTGATCAGATTTGGTTTACCTGGTATCAATAAAAAGTTGCAATATCTATTAAATCCGGTCTTTACTAATAACTTATTAATAACTTAATAATTATAGTTATCAGTTATTATAAAAATCATAATAAAATCATTATTTCGTTTAACAATTTTAGATAATAATTTTGTTTCCACTTATGGTCTTCACAGATAATTCTTTAAGATCAGAAATTTAGTTTGGTTTTTTCATATTGGTTTTTCTCGGTCTTTTTACCATAGATTTAGCAGAGCATTTTGATAATCAAGAAGCTATATAATTTCACACTTGTCGATTTTTTTTCTTTTCAATTTGTATTTGATTTATCATAAGTCTCGGCTGCCTTTCTTTTTATAAAATTTTTAACTTTTAACATTTAATTATCTCCGGAATTGAGTCATGACAATGGTCGAACATATGGGTTTACCTTTATCAATGGGTAAGTGTGTGTTGGTCAAAGGCGTGCGCACGGGGTATGCAGGGTATGCCGCTGCATAGTCTGCGGCTTCATGCGAGGGGCCCATATTTATTATTAAGTTAAGAAACTTTAAATTTAATTACCGCCACAGGAAATTTAAATCAATTAAAGCTTGATAGTAATGATATTTCAATGTTGAAGGAAAAATTTAATTTGAATACTACATTTGAGTCTGAAATTAAGCTCATTACAAATATGTCTGATAGAACTTCTATTAGAGGGTCATCAACTAAAACAATTTTAGTATGGTTGAATTGGTTATCAGAAAACGACCGGAAAACAATATTTTCAAACTTCAATAAAGCTTTAACACAATTTGCAACAATATCTGTGACAAGCTGCTCGTGCGAGAGGGACATTTCCAAATTGTCTATTGTAAAGTCTAAATTTAGAAACACTATGTTACAAGAACGTCTTGATTCACTGATGTTAATATTTATCGAGCAAAAGATGGCATCAGAAATCAATATTGAAGATGTAATAGATGAATTCAAAGCATGTGTGCCGATAAAAAGAAGACTTGAATTTTAGATTTTAAGTACTCTCCATAAAATAACAACATTATAAATATGTTAAAATTATTCAAAAGCATTCAATATAGTACATACTTGATCTTAAATAAATAATAAATTTTTTTTTAATAAATATAAATCAAATTTCAAACTACTTATTTCTACAGTGCATTGTTTAATATTCTACTGTAAAACTATGTGTGATTTTAGATTCTAAGGGAAGTAAAGAAGCTAAGTAGTATATATGCAAAAACTTAGATTGTGACTTGAATCTTATATGCGTTAAAAAAAAATGCAAATACATTAAGGGAAGATTAGAAAATTTATTTGTGAGGGGCCTTATATTTCTTATTGCATAACCTGTGAATAAAGTCTGCGCACGCCTATGCTATTCAATATTTTCTAATGATTATTGTCACGACGGCGACGTTACGTAGTCTGTCATTGCAGTGTAGTGCAGTTGCCGTGTAGTGTTATTTTTTCTTTTGGTCAACGTTTCTAAGTATTTGTGAACTATTTTCTAACATAAAATGAAAAAAAAGTTTAATGAGAAGTTTAACAATTTACTATTAAATAAAAATGCAAATGCTGTATTTTTAAATAAAGTAAAATAAGATGAATTAATTTTAAAAGTGAATAATATGAAAACTAAAACCACAAAAAAAGACTGCAGATGATTACAAATTAATTAAAAAATACGATGTTGTAAATATATCAGGGATTGAAAGGTTAGTAGTTCCAGTATCCGAAGGTAAATTAAGTATTATGTTTACAATGAACAATTGTTTCAACTTCTTAATGAAGTACATATATCTGTGGGACATGGAGGTAGAAACCTTATGGAGTATGAATTGAACTTGAAATATAAAAATATAACAAGGGAGAATATAACGATATTTTTAAATTTATGTGACCACTGTCAAAAAAAAAGTTTTAGTTGTAAAACTTATACTTTCATCAGAATTGAACTTTCGCTGTCAAGTTGGTTTAATAGACATGCAAGCTTAGCCTGATGGCGATTTCATAATGGTCTATCAAAATCACTTTATGAAGTTCGTAATTCTTAGACTGTTAACTCATAAACGGGCTGAAGTAGTAACCTACGTGTTAATTGATATTTTTACAACATTTGGAGCCCCGACAATTTTGCAGTGACAATGAAAGGGAATAACTTAAAATTGTCCACGGAAAGCCTAGACACTCACCAAGTCAAGAATCTGTTGAAAGGGCCAACCAAGATATTCAATATATACTCGCAACCAAGCGCGCCCTCAGGATAAAATCCCACCCGGCGCAAGATTAAAATTCTAAGGGTCACAACGTGTATCTAAAAATATATGAGAACAAAATCAAATACCATAGAAATCGGTAATCGGAAGAATTTATAGTCTTAAGCGGTATGCAGTTACGTGTAAATATTGTAAACAAATAAATACGTTCAAGATTATACATTTTTGAATATCTAAAAATATAATAAATTTTACTAAACTTCATCAATGGATCTCAATAAAATTATGTTATAATTAATATGCGTGGTATTAAATTAATAATAGTTTTGAAACAAAAATTCCCAGTATGGCCCCTTTGCCCCCCCCCTTGCGGGCACCCATGCTCGCAACATAGTTAATCGATAATAATTCCAGAAAGTGGAGCGAAGGTTCAATTTATGAAGAAACGGAGTTTTCACTATTGTACAAAATGTTCGCCATAGGCTCGTTTCACACCATACGGCAGTGGTTCTTAACCGGTGTTCCGCGGAACACAGGTGTTCCGTGGACTTCGTATAAGTGTTCCGCCAAAATTTTAAAATCAGTGAAAAAAAAATTTCTTCAAAAATAGAATCATTTTAGGTTTTGTTGGTTTATTTTTGTACACAAAAACGTTATCGTTAACTTTCGAATAATATAATGTGTCAGTATACTACTATACTATATAATATATTAATATACATTATTATTATTATATTATACGATAATCTCCACCATACTGCGATAACATACGTATAGATATTGACAATTTTATTTTCTGCACTAATAAAAGTTATAAAATACATTAGTATTAGTACGTTGCCCACGGTTATCAACGTTAGACGCGTGTACAACTTCATAAATAAGGATTCTGTTATTTTTTTAAGTAAGTACAATTTGAAATTTATTTAGTTAATTAATTTAATTTGTAACGACCATTTTAATAACAAAATGGACAAATTTCTTAAACGGAAACATGATTCTGGTACTGATAGTGCAAGTACAAATACAAGCAATGTCAATGATGATACTTTCAATGATGAGAATAAAATAAAAAAGGTCAATAGACAATATTGCAACGATTATTTAAATTTTGGGTTCACTTATGTTGACGAAAATGATTGTCAAATTCCCCTTTGTGTGGTTTGTGGGGAAAAGTTGTCTAATAGCGCAATGGCGCCAGTGAAATTAAAACGGCATTTTTCATCTAAGCACGCCAATCTCCAGTCTAAAGAAAAAAATTATTTTGAAAGGTTGTTGAATAATCAAATGAATCAAAGAAAACATTTTAAAAAAATTGTAACAATATCTGATAAAGCACAAATCGCATCTTATAAAGTTGCCGAAATAATTGCAAAACAGTTAAAACCACACACCATAGCAGAGAGTTTGATTTTACCGGCATGTTCAGAAATAGTTCAAATTATGTTTGGCGATGATGCAAAAAAAGAAATTATGAAAATTCCGCATTCAGACGATACAATAAAAAACAGAATTATACACATGTCAGATGATATTGAGAAAACTGTCACTAACAAACTTACTACTAATAAACTATATTTCGCTTTGCAAATTGACGAGTCTACTGATATCAGTGGTATAGCTCACGTACTAGGATTTGTTCGTTTCATTGATGAAAATAAAATAGTGAATCAATTTTTATGCTGTAAACAACTTACTGAACGTACAACAGGACAGAATGTTTTTGATTCAATTTCGTCATATTTAGATAAATTTAACATAACATGGGACCAATGTGTAGGAATCTGCACCGATGGAGCTCCTTCAATGGTTGGTTCTATTAAAGGATTTACAACATTAGCGAAGAAAAAAATCCTAATATCATATCTACACATTGTTTTTTACACCGAGAATCGCTTATTTCGAAAACATTACCTATTACATTAAAGTCTGTATTGGATAAAATTGTAAGCATGGTTAACTACATAAAATCGCGTCCATTACAATCACGCCTATTTAAAAAACTGTGTGAATCAATGGAAGCTCAGCACGTATGTTTACTTTTACATTGTGAAGTAAGATGGTTATCGCGAGATAAAGTTCTAAATCGAATTCTGGAACTTAAGAATGAATTGTTAATGTTTTTTCAAAACGAAGGTAACACTGTTTTTATATCTTTTCTTACAGACGATATTTGGTGTGTTAAAATGGCATATTTAACTGATATTTTTAATTATTTAAATAGCGTAAATGCTGGCATGCAAGGTAAAAACGAAAATATTCTTACATCCACGGATAAACTATTAACATTTTAAAAAAAATATCTTTTTGGAGAACACGTATAATTCAAAAAAATACTGTAGACATGTTTCCTTCAATTAAAAATAATAATGAAATAATTCCTATTATAACAGAACATTTAGCATTATTAGAAGAAAAAATCACGAAATACTTTCCTGAATTAAATATTGAAAAGTATGATTGGATACGAAATCCATTTTCTACCATCAACACGTCAAGTTATGAATTTACGTTAGAAGAAGAGGAAGAATTCATAACGCTAACAACAGATCGAACTCTAAAAATAAAATTTTTCGAAATAACAGTAGAAGAATTTTGGATTTCAGTTCAAACCAAATTTAAAAAAATTTCTGAAAAAGCAATTTCAATATTATTACAATTTTCAACCTCATACTTATGTGAGCTTGGATTTTCAACACTGACGAATATCAAAACAAAGAAACGAGAAAGGCTGACAGATATTGAAGAGGAAATGAGAGTAGCAATATCGTACATACGGCCAGATATTGAAAATATCTGTAAAAATCATCAGGCACAAATATCTCAGACAAAGTATTCAATTTCAAATTTTTAAATTTTTTTTAACTCTTTTTATTATTTTATTATTTTTTAGTGACTAACACTAACATGTATGGCATGCAAACAATTTTATGCTATACATTCATTGTTTAATATATTAAAAAATTAAAAATGTATGTACTACTATTTTATTTTACGGTTGTGTTCCGCGAAAATCTTGTAAAATGTTAAGTGTTCCGTCATTCGAAAAAGGTTAAGAACCACTGCCATACGGTCTTGACTGTACGGCAAAAATCCGGACGGCAAAAACCGGATCATTTGGTCACTAAGCTTATCGCGAAGTCCGGCTGCCGTACACTGTAGTGGCAGTAAACGGTTGTTACACGGCATGGTGACGGTATTTTGCCGTGACCGTATAATATGAAAGCGTATATGCTATTCTTTGCGCCACTAAAATATTATCGCCGTCCGGTCAAAACCGTATAGTGTGAAACGAGCCATACGAAGCTATGTTCGGAACACATACTAAAGTTGGCCTAAAATCAACCCAAATTCCAACCGATTTTATTTCTACTATAAAATTAGAGGAAAATTTAGAAAAAGCTTTAGGCTGTGGAGTTGATATTGAAAACATAAACGAGAAACACGAAAAAAGTGATGGAAGCGATAAGGACAATGAACCAATGCATTCGAGCTTTCGCTCAGACGAGCGTGCCCCTTCTATGAGATTTCTCTCCTCAAAGGACACGCTCCATACGGGTCGGTGATTCACACGACCCGGGCGGATTCACGCCGCTCCCCGCCGAACTGCCGATTTTCGTACCGTTAAGTCTGGGAAGACCCCAGGCGTCCGGTGCTCGCCTGGTTTACCTAGCGACCCCGCAGCACCGTCGAGTCCAACCTCAGATCCACCGAAGCAGACTGGACGCGGCAGGAAGACGCGTAAGACACACGCCGCCCTGGGCTAACCGCGCCCCCCGACGTACCATTCGTGTTACGCGTCAATGGTTGGACAGGCGTCGACGGCGGCCAGTCACCCCGCCGTCTTCCGTGTTTAAGAAAGGGGAATAATCGCATTACTGCCATCATGACTCACACCTGCCGAGGGGGCACGATGCCGGTGCGACGCGACCTTTGACAGCCACGCCGCCCCGGGACCGCGATCCCCAGGGAAGAGCGAGAATCACATGAGACGCAGTAATGCGCCCGGACGCCTGTAGGAACAGACGTCCGACCTGTCGGGACGGTCACACCGACAGGCCACCAGCCTCTGGCGAACCAGATTCGGAGTCATTTTGGTCGTACGGCCGCCTCAGAGCTCTCGGCACACCGTACATTTTACACACCAACACGCATAGGCGAAGCTCTCGCCCCGTGCTGGCTGACGCGCAAGCAAATTGTCCGGGCGAGAGTATTCTAATATTTCCCTCGTCTCCCCTACCACGGAGGAGTGTTTAAATACCGCTATTCGCAACCCGCGGACCCGATCTACCAGCATTTGCTGCTGCTTCGAATTAACCCCGACTAGGCCAGCAAGATCACGAAGGAGCGGGGACAAGTCCGCTCCCTTAGCCGAGGATCACCCCCTTTACCCCCCTAAAATACACTCCTGTCGGGACCCAACTCGGATGCTCCTGTTTAATACACTTGTTTTTATTTGCTTGGTAAGCAAGGTTCATTCTAATGAAATTGTATTTTTAGTTTTATCAAAATCCGGGAGATATCGTTGCTGTGTAAAACAACGTTCAACACTATGCCAACTAGTCACACACGACTATATATTTTGGTTGGTTAATTAATTTTACAAAGAAAAATATTATTATAAAATTTACTTAACTACTATTAAACTAAATTTATATTCTTATTTTTAATTCATAATTTTCATTTTAAGCTAAAAAAGTAATTATTTATCGTACGGAAAATATACTATTCCATCTGGAGATGTAGAAGTCAGCGAAGTATATCGTCCTCGGAGAACATATAAAATTAATTTAAAAACAGGAAAACTTATCAAACAGACAGCATTTAAATGACTAAATTCCAACACCCATTGTTCAATGGTAAAGCAAATGGCTTTGCCAATAACCGTGCCAAATGGAATTTTAGCGGCATAGTGTAGACCAGGGGTGGCGAACCTTTTTAGGTTCAAGTGCCAAATTTTTCCTTTTCAGGTTTTGAAAATCGTTTACGTGCCCAAAGAAAATTATATTTTTTAAGACTATTAACAAAATTCAGATTTATTACATTATATTTATTAAATTTTAGTTATTCTTAGTGAAACACAAACAGCAATCATTTGTTGGTCAAAACCTTTTTTTTTCTTCGATTTAATTACATTTTTTATGGCGAATAAGCTTTCACAAACATAGGTTGACGAAAAATATGAAAGTATAAAGAATATTGTTATTTTTAAAACATATATAATTTGTTTATTTGAATTTCTTATAACCAACATTTTATAAACAGCAAAAAAATTTTTTTTGTACAATTTCAATTTTTTGCGCGTGCCATTAAAATTTGGTCAATGTGCCATTTTTAGCACGCGTGCCATAGGTTCGCCACCCCTGGTGTAGACGAACTCACCTTAGTAAATAAGTTACCCTGTGAGAACTATTTTTATTTTCCAGTTATGCACATCATATCGGTTTGTAGATTATTAACTCTGAACAGTGATAAATAAAAACATAATACAGTAGCCGCCGCTTATTGGACTCACTTTGGGACCCGACAATTTGAGTCGATTAACCAAATGAGTCAATAAGGCGAATGACTCAAAAAAATTTTAAAAATCCTTAAATTTAAAACCGTATTTACTTAAAAATATGTATTAAGATTCAATATGTATGTATAAAAATAAAAATCTATACGCAATTAAAAATAAAATAATTAAATAAAATATGTACCTAATTAATAAAATAAATTAATTTTTTGATAAAGTGTATTGATGTAGTGTTAGAGGGTAAGAATACGAGGTTAATATGTTTAAATTTCACTGTAACCACATGAGCCGTGCAGTTATCGACTAGCAATAAAACGTCATGATGAAGTTCATTGTCCCACTTGATCAGCCATTCGGTGAAAATTTCTTTTATCATCCATGCATTACTGTTTGCAGTATAGTCTACCGGTAGATTCTTAACACCCTTGAAACACCGGGGATTTTTACTTTTACCAATCACAAGCAGTTTTCTTTTTTCACCATCCATACTCGCACAACATAATATGGTTAGACGTTCTTTACTAGTTTTAGTTCCTCTAGTTTTTTCATTTTTGAACGCGTAAGTGTGCTCAGGTAATGCCCTGAAATAAAGTCCAGTTTCATCCGCATTGAACACACAAGACGGAGGATATTTGGCGATAAGTGATGGCCATTCTGAATGAATCCACAACCGTGCAGCTACATGGTTGGCTTCTCCCTGTTCTCCATATGGCTTAACGAATGAAATGTTTTCGCGTTTCTTCCATCGGTGAAACCAACCTTCTGTTGCCACAAAATTATCTTTGCCTATTTTTATCGCAAGATCTTCGGCTTTTTGGCGCAAAAGTGGTCCTGTAACTCGGACATCTTTTTATCTGACTTTTATGAACCATTGCTTTAAAGCTTATTCAACTTCTTCTTCTTTACCGACCCTTTTTCTTTCACGGTTTGAATTCACATTTTCTAATGATGCGTTTTCGATTTCCTGTCGACTTTTCAGCATCCTACCTAGTAAACTTTGAGACACGTTCAACTTACATGTTGCTTGTCGCTGGTTCGTTTTCGGAAGCTCGTCATATTTTTTAAGAACATCTAATTTTTCTTCCACACTCAAATCACGTCGTTTGTTCATTGTAACACGATAAATAAAAATATTCACACAGAATGTAAACGCAGACAACACACTGAACACGACGACGTCTATTCATACCACAGGGTGGCCATACGTATACGTAAGTGAAGCATTTAGATGGAGAACGTTTAGAGTGTCCAATTGAAAAGCATTAAATTATTGTACCAAATTATTGTAAATTATTGTAATTTTAAATTTAAAAATTAAACTATTAAAATGTTTAACGTGTACCAAAAAAAATGTTTATAAGTGTTACTTACCGATGAAAGCTAACGTCTGTTTTTTTCGCAGACCAAGAACGTTTACACAAAAAACAACTTGGCATTGTCTTAGAGTTGTAGACTATTAAGCACAAAGTAAAAGTAACAATGAAAAACTTTACTTATTGTAAAGACATACAGTATGTTACATACAGTAAACAGCATGTTTACTTTACGTATTAAACATTTAGCAGACGAGAATTCCAATTTCGAAACTTGAGACTTTGAATTTGGCGCCAATATACAACGATAACAATAATAACATTAAAAAAAAAATTTAAAATATGATAACCGTGTCTTATCAGTGATTAGGTTGAGTAAGGGATACAATAATTTGGTACAATAATTTAATGCTTTTCAATTGGACACTCTAAACGTTCTCCTTCTAAATGCTTCACTTACGTATACGTATGGCCACCCCGTGGTTTATCGTGAAAAGTAATTTATTTTATCTCCGCGATAAAAGCAAAATATGTACCGGTACCGACTTATTTATAACACGTTTTTTCAATGATGTACATATTTTCCTTGTTTATCTGATTTTAAAATGACCCTAATAACCGGTGTGTGAGTCGAATAGACGAATTTTTTGCTGTGTGTTAGTATATGTGCAAATCGGGACCAGCCGTTTTGAGTCTAATAGACGAATGAGTCAATTAACCGTGAGTCCAATAAGCGGCGGCTACTGTATATGCAAAGCTTCAATATTGAACGAATTCATATTGAATTTTTAATGGTTTTACGTCAGATAGTATCCCCAAAATGCTAATATTATTATTAAATTACGAATAATGTTATGATTGATTTTTTTTTAAACGGTTTAAATAACAAACACAATAAAATTACAAAATTATTTAACTTTTTGATATACTTACATTACAATTTTAAAGCAATTTATTTGAACAAACTTAAAATTAAGTTTATAATACTTGTCTGATTATAAATACCATAGAAATATCATACAATTTATGGTAGACTTAATTTTTTTTATTTCCTACTAAGCTACTTTTTCGATCACTATTTACGAATAGTGGTTTTCATGAATAGGTGATTATTCTAATAATTAATCCTGTGTATCCTATGTCCTTGTTAATAACAAAATTAAAAAAAGTCATTGATGTGTAATGGTAATCAACCAGAATCTTTAGATAAAATAAAATAAATTATTATTCGGTTTAATATACCTGTTCAAGCAAGATATTTTTTAATAAAGATTTATTGTATATTGTACCTATATTATGTTATAGCACATAAGACAGTGTTTTAAGTTAATACCTTTTTAAGGTATGTATTGAATATTTTTATTAATTTATAAATTAAATTAAAATATAATTATGACAAATGAGTAAATGGTGTAGATTAAACATTTTGAGCACTAGAACAAATTATTAAAATGTACATCCAACCATTACTATACGTTGTAAAGATTAAAATTGAAAGGACAAATGATTTAGCTATTGCATTTTCAATGCGTGTTCACACCATTACTTGATATATATTAAGTTTCTTACACTGGCTATTGATCTAAGTATACATCACAAAAAATGTATTTTCAGGGAGCTTTTTATTTTAGACAAGTTTTAGGTTGTTCAGAATCATTTTTCTGTTAGTTTACAAGATACAACATATATGAAAAAATAGAACTCTGCTTAAAATTAGATGTTAGATGACTAATATGTATTAGAATTTCTGACATTAAGATAAGGATAAAAATACAATGAATAATAAAAAAATATTGTAAAATGACAATAATTATTTTATTAGAAGTGAACAATATTAATTTTAATATTAATAACAAAAATATTTATCAGGTAACTTAGTATGATTACTTTGCTCGATAAAACATAAAGCGACAGTAGTATACAACAAAAATTAGTAACTAAATGTATACATATAAAGGATAAAGCGGTATATATTGTGAAAAGTTGTGTGAAACATTAATACTGAAATTATAACAAATCCTGTCTTAGAATGTTAACCAATTGTTATAAACAGATTTTTGACTATATGAGTAAAATGCTTAACATAAATAATGTAATACATATTATATGAAAACAAATAATACATTTAGTAAAAATAAACTTAAATCATATACCTACATACTAATAGGAATTAAATAGTAAAACAAATAAACAAAATAAAACAATATTTTAAAACACATTAAGAATGGACAACATTTAAACAAGTGAATCGAAATAAAATAAATGCAAAAAAAATATCACATTTTCATTAAAGAATAATTGTGATGTTAAATTATTTACAATCACAGACTTAATACTTAGTAATTGGCGTCATTTGGTTTTAACTGGTTATTTTTAAATATTCATAAAGTGCACATTTATGTAATTACGTATAATATAATGTAACATATTAAATTAATATTAATATTAATATTATTTTTCGTTTTAAGTATAAATAACTATTTAAGAGAATTGTGAACAGTGCGAGAAAGTATGCAAAAATAAGTATTTAAGTAATATGAAACATACCAAAGTAGAGGCATTGATTTTAGATTATATTCTAAAAAAAAATAGTATAAGTTGTATTTATTAGAATGATGATCGTAAAGTTTAAACAATAAGTGTAAGTTGGTAGTAATCAAACTAAAAATAATAGCTTGATTATTTAATCAAGTATCATTATTCAATACATACACATAACAAATAACAATAACCTTAAGAGACATCATGACAAAAAAAAAGTAGTTGGTACGAAAATAACACTTTATGAATAATTTTAGTTAAGTTTTATAGAATATATAGTCATTAACATAAGTTTATTTGTATAGTTTATCTATTATACACAGTACATTTAATAATTTTGAAACTGGTGATCCAAGGTAAAATAAATAAAAGAATTGTAATACATTTTAAAATTTAACAGTGAAACTATCTATAAAACTGATGATTTATAATTTAAAAGTGAAAGTCCGATAAAATCTAAAATGAAAAATTTTAAAAATAAATTGTGATAAAACAGAAAATGATTCAACTGCAAAACATTTTATTTTAGTTTAGAAATAAACATATGTGTAGATTGATAAAAAAAAAATAACTGATTAATAAATATCTCTAATAAAATCACAAAGCGCTTTAAAAGTTTATACTATAGTCATGGTTTTTGATGATAATTTTATGTACAGTAAAAATATTATTGAGAAATTAATTAAAATATTTTAATTGAATTTATTTCCACACTGAGAAAGTCCAAATCCAAATAATATATTAATTTATTAGAAATAAAAGTAAAATTGTCTTTGTAATTTAGAAGGAAGTGTTTTTAGTTAGAAATGACGCAATAACCCACATATATAATAAATAGGTTTAACATAATATATTAATAAGAATTCCAGTTGCGAGTAGACCAGAGTATTGCAAATGTTGTTCCCGTCACATCAGCCATATCATTACAATGAGATAAATACCTTTTCAATAAGCTCCTATATCCATGGCCTATACTTATAACTGCATTACCTTCACCAGCAGCAGTCATACATATTACCTCTTGTTCATATGGTCTGAATACAGTGATAGGCCTAGCAGTATCCTGTTCAACAACAACAATACAACCCCAAGCTGTACCTATGTATAATTCATTGCCAACTGTACAAATACTAGTTATCTGAAATATGTTAAAAGTAATATTTTGGTGAGTTCTAACTGAAATAAAAATATTTTCATCTACAGTACTTGGCATTTTCCTGGACTCAATCGTTCTTCTATACTAATTGATTTTAGACTTTCTGAACATGGAATTAGTTTTGAACAATCCAACTTATTCATTATTTTTCTAGTAACTATATCCCATTGATAAACAACACAACCTGCAGTTAAAATAGTAAAAAATATAACTTTTTTATTATTGCATAGTATATTTCAACAAACCTGGGTGTACATAAGACCATACAAAATGATGATCATGGGAAGTGCTTAGTGAAATGACTTGTGTTTCTAAGCCTGTGTAATCAAAATGTTCAAGAACTTCATAATTGATTGCTACATTTTGTTTGATAGTGTATACTGATATACGTCCTTGATCTTCTCCACACCATAATTCACAAGTCCTAATTTTTTTTATAAATATTAATTAGATAATGTAATAAAATTTAAAAAAAAAAATTGTGTTTGGATAAATTTACTTATTACTGTCAACAGCTATAAAATCAAACAATACAGTTGAACTTCCAAGTTCACTCATTACAAAACTTCCTTCTCCCATGGTTGGTGCTAGGGGTGACATATCACTCCGCACAAGAAATATTCTTCCATTTTCCAAGCCTACTGCAACCCTATATCTATCTTTTAGGGTCACTATACATTTAACAACAACTTCTTGGTCATCCGTTATCAGTTTGTAGCTAAACATGTATTTGCTATCAATACTCCTGGAAATAAATCAATGTAGTATCAGACAGAAAAATAAGTTTTAATAATTAAAGCTTACGAGTAGGCATGAATTTGTCCTTCTGAATCTCCTAACCAAACACTATGATTATCTATTGTGCAAATGGCTGTAATTTTATGTGTTACATTTGTACTTCTGTAATGAAACCAATTTGTACTACTAAAAGCCAATCTGTCAAGTTTTCCATTAGAACAGGGCAACCATATTTCATCGCCGCTATTCTCATTATCTTCACCTATAATATAAAAATCAAAAAAATATGACTTACACTTCAAAAGTACAAAATAATAATGAATAAGTTGACATACATATTTATAGTCATGTTTTGTAAAAGCTAACATTTTTTTTTTTAAAGGCAATATATAATCTAATAAATAGTATATTGGATGAAGTATTAGTTTTAATAAAAATTATTTATGTTATAGTTTTGCTTTAGGAATTATGAGAAAAATATTACATACTAAGTGGTAATGGTACTCGAGTACAAGAAACTACATCAGCTGAATGATTTAGTGAAACTACATCATATAAATGAGTGAATTCAGGAGCTGACACAATAGAAACAATTTGGCTAGCTGAAGGACGTTCTTTTGGACTTTGTGACCAGCACACAGCCATTAAATCAAGCAAGTAGTTTGGATATGCTGTTTCCTTTAATAACAAAAAAGTTTTCAACTGTAGTGCAATATAGAAAGCAACAAAATAATAATAATGTATATGTTGGTTTCCTTACTCTATAAGTTAATGCTGGCCGATGTCCTTCTAGAATACTTTCTTTTACAGATTCATGATTTTCAAATGGTTGATGCATTGTTAAAAGTTCATAAACAAACATACCAAATGAAAAGCAGTCTACCTTTTCAGTGTACTCTTCTTCGCCATTGTATTTGATTATTTCTGGAGCCATAAATCCTTCTGTACCACCAAAACCTTTGGTACCAGATGGTAAAGATAAACGACTAATTCCTGTATTGAAATTGGTTAATAATTTTTGGTTAAAATTTAATTTTATTAAAATGAATGCTAACCATAATCTGCCATTTTAACATGCGTATTAACTGCATAAGGATCTTGAAATGGAACTGGAATAGACCAAACAAGAACATTTTCACTTTTTAAATCTCTATATATAATTCGTTGCTGGTGTAAATATTCTAATGCTTTAGCTATCTGAAATACAATCTGTTGTAGAATATGAGGATCTAATTTTGAACCAGATCTTCGATAGTTTCTTAAAATTTGATCTAATGCACCTATTGGTGCAAGATCAAGAATAAGTGCTAGTGGTTTAGTACAAACACCAATTAATGGAACAATATTTGGATGTTTTAAATTCAGCATTATGTTTAATTCTTGTCTTGCGCTACAATAAGATTTACAAGTATACTGGAGTGGATCACGATCCCACTTTACTTGAGCTCCCTATATAAAAAAAATAAAAATTAAATTTTCAAAATACATTTCAAATAATTCAATAATTAATATATATTTAATTAATTAATAGTCAATTTACTTTATAAGCTATAACAGCAGATTGACTAGCATTAGGTCCAGGTGGTACAGGCTGAAGCATTTTAATAGCAATTTGTATACTGTTACCAAGTTTTTTTCCTTTACAAACTCCTTTAAAAACAAATCCAAATGCTCCACGACCTAATAGTTTACCTCGGATAATATCTTCATCATTAATTACCAATTCTTTGCCCAAATCCAAAAATACCTAGAAAATGTTATGCAATTAAAGTAATTAATGTACATGTTCATATAAGAATAAAAATCATACAGTATCAGGAGCAACTTGTGCTAAAGGTAAGTCTCCATGCTTTGGACAAACAACACAAAGTTTATCTACTGAAGATGCAGCTAGAATACAATCTTCAACAATCCATCCATAGTGTATATCTCCTTCCTGATCGTTTGACACTAAAGGATGCCCATCAACAGATACTTTTCTACTTGATTGTGGACTAACATCATGTCCAACACCACTATCGCCGCCATCAGAACCATTGTAACTTTCTTGAGATTTACGCACAATATTTTTACCATACAAATCTTTCTTCAAAAATTCTTTAGAAATATGATCTATTTTGCTTGTACTATCATCGTCTTTCATATCAATTGAAATACTATCGGTTTCTACACTTCCAGCTAAACATCTTGGACATGGAACAAGTCTAGTAACTAAACATTTTCCTTCAGAGGTATGAACAAATCGGGTACCCAATGTTGGGTACCAGTCTTCTAAAAGTACATCTATATGGTCTACTACTAAAGCTAATAATTTTGCAGCTTGTACAGGAGATGGATCCAATACAATAGCTCTAAACCCTATGTCTTCTTCATCATTATTTTTTATTGGTTTTTTTATAATAACAGTATCTAAGGGTAAATAAGTTTCAAGAATAGAAGAAGTTTTTATTGGAATATCAAACCAAGAGGTTTCTTGGAAAAGCTGAAATCTAAGATGTCTATAGTTTATTGGAAAATTACGGTGTAATACTTCTTTCATACGAAATAATGTGATTTTATTTGCAAATTTTAATTCAATTCCAGTTTGCCATAATATCCAATCAAAATGAGTTTGAAAATCTGAGCACATAAAATCATCACCATTTACCTCAGTTGGCATAAAAATATGTCTTATTACACTAATAATTGTATCATCACTAAGTATGCGTGTAATTAGCCGAGACCAAAAGCCTGATGGAAAATATGACATAAGCAATAAACGGCGGACAGATACTTCTGGATCTGAACGACTAGTAATATGTTCTCCAATATCAACTAAATCTAACATTGGTTGACTTGAAGATCTTGTTTTTATATTACGAATTTTTGATTTTATAGGTACTTTGATAGATATTGGTTGTGCTCTTTGATCTAACATATCTTCTTCAGATGGTAAAAGAGATGGAATTAATAACGATCGGCTATCCCAAGTTAGAGCTACTTCAAATTTATTAAGCAAGTTAACAATATATTCTCTTGTACAAGTTGATGATTTCAATACAATTTGTAGGTCATCTAATTTCATTACTCCTGAACGAGCAAAAGGATTGATTTCCCTTATCGTTACAACGTGTGCCAACATATCACATAACCATTGTGGGTCTAAAAAATATAAATCTTTTAATGTTGCATCATCATAATGTAACAATACACCTAAAAATAAAAAAATAAAATTCTCAATAGTGATTTATATATGGAATACTTTTGTGCAACATACCATTTTCATGCAAGAACAAAATAGCTTGATTAAGTTCAGCCATATCTCGAAATGATTTATGATATCTTGATAACATTTCTGCATTTACTGCAGTTTTAAATTGATCTAAGTTTAAGACAGGATCTAAACCAGCTTGTCGTCTTTCAGATCCAATATGACTTACAATGTCTTCTAATGCTAAATATGTTGCTGGTACTCTCTGTTCCAATAAAAGTTCTTTACTTCCTACAAAATATTCAAGGTTTAATTTATAACTAAAACTGTTAAAATAATATTTTATCACTAGGTATAATATTTATATTAAGGGTTTGATATGGTACCAACATCCACAATTTTTTAAATCACAATATTTTCTAAATTTATAATTTAGGATTAAGAAAAAAAATTATATTATAAATTATTTAAAATCTTGACATACTATCTACAATAAATATTAAATATATTTATTAGGGTGTCCCTTATTTATTAATTTCATTATTTCTCTAGTCTCACCTACTTAATTTGTAAAAATTTGTAAAAAATTAACTATAAAAAGTTTCAAATCAATCTATTAAGATTAAACCGTGCCCACTTAAAGTTGAAATTTGAGTATATTAATACATTCGTAATTTAATGATATATTTTACATTTTTATATATATCTCATTTACAATTAGGAAAATTTAAATTTGTTACAGAATTTTTTTCAAATAAAATAAAATTGTCTAAAAGTTATGTTCTTACGTATTTCTTATTTATTATAATTTACAAGATATTTTGACTTTTGTATATGAAAGTACTATTTTCTCAAAATTTTATTACGAATTTTTATTAACTAAAATTGTTTTTTCAATGTTTCCTTTTTACAATCAGGATATAGTCTTCTGTGTTCTTGAATACATTGTAATAGCAACTCAGATTTCTTATCATCTTTGGTTAAACTTCCACGAAAATCTTCCATAAGTTCAACTGTTCTTTCTGCTGTATCATTTACTACATTTAGCAAGCATACAATTTCTTTCCTGTGTAAATAATTCATTTGAGTGTCCCATGTCCTTGGATCATCGGATCATCATTAAAAAAGTCTGTATTAATACCAAATCGAATTGCATACTGTTCTTAGATATAAAAGAGGCCAGTGTTTTTTCTAAAAAAAAAAAATAATTATTTTTCTATTAATAACCTTACGAATTACGTTACTAAATAACAAAAATGATAGTCATATACCTGAAAAATTTTCGCTAAAATCTTGAAATAATACAATAAGACGCTTAGTTTGTTGGATAATTCCATCATTGTTAAGTGACTGTAGCATTAATCTTTTAATTTCGTTAGCTAATGCTGCTGCTTCTTCTGTTAAGTACCATAAATGATAACTAATTTTTGTTATAGTGACTTTTGAAATTTTAGAATGTTCATTATCATATAGTTTTAAACATTTTATAAAATTTAAATTGTTTGCCGGTACTCTAGCTGGTGCCATACAGCTGAACCAAACTTTTAAATAAAATCGAACAATAAAAACACAAATATCACGAATAGCGTTTTTTTCAGAAGTTGATAATGAGTATTGATTTCGAAAAATATATATTTTAAAACAGTAAATAGCTCTACTCATCCAACGATCTTGATGCATTGCTCCTGGTGGACGTATTTCAAATTTGTTGTTCAAATTACCATTTAAAAAAATTATAGATAGCTCAAATAATTCTTTATAGTTATCTATGTAAAATTTATTTTGCAACATAGCTCGACAAAAGTGCAGGATATCATTTCGTGTATCTTCTAACGCAAATGCAACACTCAAGGTCGTCTATACCAGAAGTTGTATTTGTAATATCAATTTTATTCCAATTGTTTCGGAAGTTTTTGAATAGTGGAATATCAGGACTTGTTGTCGTATGAGGAAGTACAGTTTCAAAAACGTAGGTAGGTAAAGTAAATCTCTTCCCAATTTTTTCTCCAATAAAACGCTCTATATTTAAACCCGTGGTATCACAGCATAGAGCTTGAACAACATCTGTTACGCCCCAATTTTCTAATTCATAATAAATAGCATTAGCTTGTTCTTTTCCCGTTGATTTTTCCATTTTTGGGATACCAATAACCAAATCTTGTTTTTTACTGGTTAAAACAATCGGTAATCTATCAATACCTGAATCTCTGACATTTAATGTCGGTAGTATTTTTCCATCCCAGTGTATAGTAATATAATTAGGAATAGAACTTTGAAATTTGGTTTTAATTTTATTAGCGTGTTCAACCCGTAAAGCATCACGACATCGATGTATAGATGATTTATTTATAACCAAGTTATCAGTATTGTTACCCAAAGCTTCAGCTGTTGCTTGAATAATATAAACTGAATCCCGTACACTTAATTTACATCGATCCAATGCAGCAACAAGCTTTGGAGAAATGAAATTTGTGCGGCCCCTTTTTATTTTTAATGTTGTCATTGGTAAACGAGTGCATTGTGTATATTCAGAATCTGACGATGAACTAAAGGACATATCAGATAATAGATTTTGAATTTTTTATTTTATTTTCATTTTCGAGTAACTTTTTTTCTATACCACTAAGACAACCAATTCGACCAGGAATTCTTGATTTTTTAAAAATTGTTTGTCATTTTCAATTTTCATTATTAGCATGTGCAATATCAAATAAATTGTTGAGTTTGTTAATAAATTCTGTTTCTTTTAATTTAAATGAATCACCTACTTTTTGTGAATTTTTTTGTAGATCACGCCATTCTTCGTACAAGTTTAAAAGTTTATTAATTGAATTGCTCGGACAGGAATTCGAGGTTTTTTCCTAAAAAGATTGCACTCGCGAACGGCTAACGACTCACTTTCTCTCGTATTAAGTTTTACTGTTCTCATATTATAAAAAAATACTGAAAGCATTTGTCCAATAGACGGGAGTTTTGAACCTACGATTTGGGTAGATAGTGACTCAATCAAAAATATTTTTTCATGAGCTCGTAATTTTCTAGACATATTAACAAAAACACAAAAAAAAAAAATTTAACAACAAACGACGTATTCAACTAAACACGCATTGTAATGAACACCACTAAAAGATATTATTTACAAAAATCTATTAGATTCGTGGATCGTAATTCATATCGTTCTTATCTAGAGAAGTACGATAATATTTAACTGCACGATGTTTGTAATGATCAAATAATCTGATAATTTCTGTAATCGTGTGCATTGTGTATTTATAAAAATTCATAATCTAATTTTGAGAAAATGGTACTTTCATACACAAAAGTCAATATATCTTGTAACTTATAATAAATAAGAAGAAATATGTAAGAACATAATTTTTAGACAATTTTATTTTATTTAAAATATATTCTGTAACAAATTTAAATTTTTCCTAATTGTAAATGAGATGTATATAAAAATGTAAAATATATCATTAAATTACGAATGAATATACTCAAATTTCAAATTAAAGTCGGCACGGGTTCACATTAGTAGATTGATTTAAAACTTAAAACTGTATATTTATGCATATACACAAATTAAATGGGTGAGACTAACAAAAATGCAAAAAAAAAAAATTTTATAGTTTAATAAGTGACACCCTATTATTTATAACTTCTGCTACTAGAAATATATTTGGAAGACTTAGTGAATTGTTATTTATAGGTATATGTAATTTGTTTTAGAAATAGATTCTATAATTACAAATGAATATTACATTAAATAGTTTAAATTGTAAAATATATTTATATTATGTATTTTCAAACTTCTAGTATTTATTTTGATGTTTTAAAAATGTTACGTATTTCTTCCATTTGTTATTCAATATACCATGTAGTTAAAAGAATCGGAAAAATTAATTTTCTGTCCATTTAGCATATGAGCAACATAAGAATTTAGATATTTTATATTTCCTAAGTACCAATTCCAATTGACCTACTTATATAATTTTGAAAACTGATTTGTTATTAAGTATATTTAACAATGAATTTCCTAATTTTTAAATTTTTTTCTCCATCAATCCTAAAAAAGTTGACTGTACATTTTTTAAATTAAAATTTTTAGATTTAGAGTGAATTGAAAAATGTATTTTTAATTGATTTTAATGAGGTTTTTAATAAAGATAATTTAAAACATGAGAAAGTTGTTCATTCTGAATACTATGAATATTCTTTTAAATTAAAAATATTTAATTCACCGTTAAAGAATATATATATATATATATATATTAATTAAATATGTATTTACCAGGAGGTTTGAGACTGAACACTGTATCATAAATAATATTACATAAAAGCTTAATGTTATGTTTTGTTTTGCAACTTATTTCAATGGTATCCAACACTCTAGGCAAACCATACTTCTCTGCATCTACTATATTAATGAATCGGTCTCTAATAAGTTGTTGTAATAGTTCTGAATGGTATTCAGGAAATTTGGTACTGACATCATAGTGTGTACCAACAATTATTACTGGGGAGTTAGGTGCACGAGCCTGTTAAAAATAGTATTAGTTTTTATAAATAAATTCATGATTTGATTTAATTACCTGTATGTTAACTAGCCATTGTAAGATTTCTGCAATTCCTCGATGGCCATCTGTAATTTTCCATACAACAATGTACAAACTTCTTTTGGATAAAAAGTATTGATGTGTGGCATAATATTCATTTTGGCCACCAAAGTCCCAAGTTCTGAACATCACTGGACCATATTGAGAATTTCCTCTGATTTTTTTTTCATATACCCAATCACCAATATCAACACCAACTGTTGAAATATTGGTCCCTTTGCTAGTTTTTTGGTTTATATTTTTATTTCCCATACGTTTTGCCCAATGCTATAAGTATAAAATTTTATTTTAGCAACATATTTCTAAGTTAAAATTTATTTATCAAATGATAATATCTAACATCTACTGGTCTCTTTTTGTAGTTGCCTGTGCCTTCTTGTCTAAGTTGATCTAATAATGATGTTTTTCCAATTCCTTGAACTCCAACAATCATTAACTTCATACGAGCATATGGTTTAGCATCTTCAAGAACAGATTTCAAATAACCAATAACATCCATTGTTTTATACTTATTTGAATCTATCATAGATTTAAGTGGTTCTTGTAGGCTACAGCCTCTTGTGTTAAGATTCCACAACCGTGATAACAAACCCATTTGTGGAGGTAATTCTGTTACGTCTAGATAAACAAATGACATTAAGAAATAATCAGAAATAATAAAAATACATACTAAAATTTATAGTTTACCTTTATTTCCGCTTATATTTAATACAGACAAATTAATTAGTTCATTTATATTGATAGGAATTTCTTTTAATTGGTTGTTACTTAAATCCAACATACTCAAATTAGGAAAAATCAATTTTGATTTTGAATTTCCCAATAATGATCCTCCTGTATCCTAAAGAAAAGCATATCTATGATAAATAACTTTAAATGTAGTAATTAAAAGAATATTTGAATTGAATATGATACCCAATCATCCAATTCATCAGCTGAATCATTTGAAACAATAAGAAATCCATCATCATCAGTTGATAATTGAATTCTATTCAAACAATTATCAGCCAGCATTAGTGTTCTCAAATTTTCAAGCCTTAAATGACGTCTGTGAGAACATACACGGTTTAAAATATTTGCTCTTAATGACATTCTCCTACCTAAATGTAATGAATAAGGAATATAATATTTTGTTAATATTGTATAAGATTTTTAAACTAACTAGTTCGTATTTTTGAAGGTACAGTTGATTTGGGAACCTGTCCAGTTTCCAAACGATAACACAATAAGTTTTCTTGATCAGGTGTAGCTTCTTCTAAATTAATTTGTGGTAGGCTAGGCCAAACACATATTTTATTATGACTAAGATCTAATTGTTTAAGTGAACTGGGATATGATGTTATATAACTCATTGTTCTCAAACTAAAAAAAAAAAAAATGTACAAAACAAAATTTTGTAGTAGTATTTAATACTAAAATATAATCAAAATATATATTTACCAATTATAAGATAAGTTAAGCCGTGTTAAGTTTACAGCTAAACATGATAGTACAGGAGGTATAGAGCTAAATCTGTTATGTGATAAGTTTAATGAAGATAATTGTGAAGTGTTAGATTTAACTTCAAAAGCATCATCAACTCTAGCAATTTGTTCCATTATTTCAATAGTGCGATTCCAAACATTATGATGAATTAATGAAATACTTCTAAAATAATAATTTATTCAAAATAAATTAAAAAATAATGAAATATTGGTGTTTTAAATCATACTCATCAATATCATTAGCATCAATTTCTTTTACTTCATAGGCTTTATCTAATATAGGGATTCGCCCAACAGATTTTTCACGTAAACTTCTGGCTTCATTTTCTGATTGGGCATATGGAAGTTCTTTAATCAAATTAAAAGACATATTTAGATCTTTTAGTTTTGGTGCTCGCCACATTTGAAATGGTACAGAATGAAGTTTGTTGTTGGATAAATCAAGTGTAGTTAATGAAGGTAATCTGAATAACTCTTCAGGAACTTTATCAAGACGATTATCCTGATGGTTGTAATATTTATAAACCATTAATAACAAAATTATACATAAACAAAACATTAATATATAATAACATACTTGCAGGTAAAGTTCTTCTAGAACATTGGCAGTGTAGATGGATTTATATAGTCTAGACATTTTTTTACTTGTAGGAGATGTTACTTGACGTAAATCATTTGGATCAGGTAATATTTCAATTTTATTTTGAGCCAAATTTAAATACTTAAGACTTTGCAATTGAAAAATGATTGCTGGTACTTGGGTAAGTGAATTATTTGATATATCTAGTCTAGTTATAGCAAACAAAACAATTTCTCTACTTCGGGGATTCATTTTCAGTCTAGGATTGATGTGGAGAGCAGCGTCAATCTAAAAATTAGTTAGTTTACTTATATATTTTTTATATAAAGTTTAAGATTATGTTCTAATTAAAGACGACTTTTTGTATACTATTTATGTTTAAAGAATGGTTTTATAAACAAGCATTACTTATTTTCTTATTCACTGAGTATATTTTTAAAATAATGATTTTAATATAAATTAAAATAAAAAATATACATTTTTGTAACAAAAATAAATTTCAACTATTTTTCATATAATAATTTTATTATTTTGATAGAAATATATACATTATATTCAGAAACAAAATATGTTTTTGAAAATATCAATTATTGAATCAGTAGTAAATTAATAAAATGTATATTAGAATTTTGCTAATCTAGTACACAACATATTGAGAGATATTTATCTAAACTTTAAGTACTTTATTTAACTGGTATCACACCAAAATTTTAAAATGGGGTTTTTTTTTTACTTAGTTAAAAATAAAAAAAAAATTTGACATAAAAAAAAGTAAAACTAGAAAACCAAACAGTGATAAAAACAGTAAAAATATAATTGTTTTAAAATATATGATATAATTATTATTATTTAAAATTAAAATGAAAAAGACACTTTTAATTAAAAATAAAATTATCAAATAATAACTGTTATAAGTTATTAAATAAATTTTTATTAATAATATTTTGAGAATATTCTTACCAGCCACTGTGATTTTATGGATTCAAGTTTACAACGCTGACTATGCCAATTTATCATAACTGGAGTACTAGGAAATATATTACTGTAAGTTAAACTTGAAAGACCACCAAATTGTGAAGCAATATTATCTGTCATTGCTTTTTTATTGATTTTGTGTTCAGGATCAGCAAAAGCTTTAGTCCCAAGTAATGTAGTTATTAAATGTTGATTTTTGGTTATCATTGCAGCTGCAAGTGCTTTACAATCATCATCTCTAGCACCATATTTTAATAACAATTCAACAATGGATGTGTCTCCTTTACTACAAGCTATGGTCAATGGAGAAAACCCAGCTTCTCGTGTGTCATCATCCTTTTGCTGTTTAAATTAAATTGATAAATACATTAAGTTACTTTAGGATTTTACATATAAAAATAACATACTTTGTAATCAGTGCTTGGTTGTAAAGTAAGTAGATTAGGATCAGAACCATTTTCAAGCAACGCAATTACAATGTCTTTATGTCCATTTCGTACAGCAGCATGAAGAGCAGTTTCTGGGGCTTCTTCATTACAATATACATTTAGTTCAACTGGTTTTATATTTTTTTCATTTAAATCTGTTTCTTTAGTTAGATTTCCTCTGAGACGAGAAACTATTGACTGAATGCCTTCTGAAATACGGCTACGTTTTGACATATCATTATTATCATCTTTTATAGAAGTTCCATCAGCAGCACAAACCTGAAACAAGCATAAACAGTGTATAAAATCTATAATACACATACTTTTATGTATTATATATACTTTTATGTGTTCATACCTTTATTGCTTTAACTTGATATTTTAACAGTATGTCTACAATTTTTGAGTTCCCTAAGAGACAAGCTAAATACAATACTGTTTGACCATTGACATCTTTAGTATTTATATCAAATGGAACATCAAATTCCCAATTGTCTTTTCTACAGATGGATTAGTTTAAAATTTAATTTATAATATAAAATAATTTTTTTTAACTAAGAAATACCTTAATTTAATTAGTGTATTAGGATGATAAGGATATTTTAGTAAGAGATCTACAATATGAGTATTTCCATTTATACATGCCGCATGAATTGGCAACCATTTCTCTACAGTAGTTTGACGAATGAGATCAGGAAATTTCTGAAATACAAACAAGAAAAGTGGTTATTATAGGTAATTATTATTTTGTTGTTATTAAATAATAATAGTTATGTTATACACAAGCTATTAATAATCCTGAAATTATTAACGTTCTGAAATTTAATTGAAAGACTTTTTTATATTAAATTCAATTAAATCAAAATAATAATTAAATTTCAAGATGAAATTAATAATAAGTTTTATATACTAGTGTATTATATTTTATTAATCAAATCGGCATTTTCACTTTGGCATTATCATACCAATGAAAATTATATTAATATAAGTTACCAATATAAAAAACTATATGATAAATACCTGTTAAGTGGTTAAGTGGTGTTAATGAATTTGCCCATTCATAAATAAATAATTGTAAGTTTTTTTGATAAAAAATAATGTAATTTTAATTATTAAGAATATTAACTGGACATAAAAACTTCTGAAGTAGTATATTTACTGTATGTAACTTAATATTTTTAAATTTCATTAATATTTTTCAAGTATGTAGATTTCAGAAGATGGGTATCAAAATGTATAACAATTAATGAGTGTACATTACATATATAGTACAAATAAATGTTTTAATTTATTCATAGTACCTTAAGAATTATTTCAACAATATCTTTTTTTCCTTTAAAAGCAACAATGTAAAGAGGAGAATACCGAGTTATTGGATGTATTCTACCATCAGCTTTATGATCAAGTAACATTTTCACTATGTCTTTTCTCCCAACTTCACAAGCACTAATAAAAATAAATATTTTAGTTTATAATTAAAATAATAATAATAATAATGAATTGTAAATAATTAAGTTTAATACCAGTATAACAATGTGGTACTACCATTAGGTGCCATATTAACAATGAAATCTTCTTTTGACCCAAGTTCCAACAAAATTGTACGGGTTGCATTAAAATCTCCTCTGCAAATGGCATCTCGTAATGCCATATGAATTGTGTTTTGTGATTCTTCCCAGGAATCTTTAACAGAACATAGCAATATAACAGCATAAGTTTATATAATGTGAGTAAAATAATTATAAACCTTTATTTTTAATTAACTTTGTTTACTGTATTGCTTGTGTGTTTTCTTTTTTTTGAAAAAAAAAAAAAAAAATTTTCTTAAACAAATTCAAAGATATAAATTTTAATTTTTAGTAACATAATAGCTTACCATATTGACGTATTTCGTTTATAAAGTAGGCACATGCATCTATACCGGTTTCTGTTTTAAGACATTTGTTTGTAAATAGATCACTAGGGGTGAGCCAATTAAACATTTTCGTATCATCACAAATTCGCAAACACTGTTTCGACTTAATGACAAAGACGAATGATATTAATACATTTTCGTATAACTGACAACTATTATAACCAAAGAAGGGAAAGAAAATAATAATAGAAATTTCTACAACAGTCTTTAAATGTGCCGTGACTGATTCAGCATGAACAAAGGACCTTGTACAACGAATCAAAACCTAAACTCCAATTACCTACTATTTAGTATTGTAATAAAACGTGTGGCTTACATATTTCAAAGGGAAACCGAAAAATATACACACATTCACTTACAAAATATTTCGTACAAAAAGACATTTCCAAATTGTTATTGATACAAAATAACTACATAAAAGAAATAAACGTGTTAAGTATTTTAAAACATTTATGGAATCTGTATAAATTAAACAGTTAAAACATTTGTAAAAATAATTAATATTGTAGGTAAAAATATTATTTGATTTAAATATTTGAATACAATTTAATATAAATGAAATTTTTATTTTGTCGATATTGAAGATTACTATATTATATTTCCTTCATGGAAAACGGTTATAATGTGATTAACTGCATGAAAAACTAACAATTCCGATATGGTGTTGGTTCTAACTTAAAACTTCTGACAATGATTGAATTACATAAAAAAAATGACTAATTCAGGTAGTTATTGTTACTTTTAAGGCTACTAAATTTCATGTAGAATTACATAAAAAGGAAAACACACGAGATCTATGATACCCATATGTATATATAATACAATACATAATGGTAATATTATTATTTGCATTTGCTTGAACAAAAGAACATTTACGTGTTTTACTAATGTCTGTCAAAAATAGCAATTTTTAATTTAATATAAACTAGAATAAGAATTCTTTCGTGTTTCGAATAATTAGTATTTATTAATAAAAAAACCAGAGCAATTTTTCAAGTTAGACTGTAAATTATTTACTTAATTATATAATGAAACTTAAAATGTTTACAGAAAAATATAGAAAATGTAATAAATAAAACTCACAAAAAATAGTTTTAACAAAATCAAATATAAGCTGAATAATATTATTTAATAATTTTAATGTCTTACTAAGTGATAACTTTTTGATCAGAATCACGATTATAAAAAATTATAATCGTAAACTGAATAAACGTATGTGTTTTTTAGATCTCATTTTTTAAACGTATTTTTAAAAATTACTAAGTTAAAAATTATAATTTGTTATGATTAAAAATAATTCTTTTACAAAGTTAAAGTGTGTAATGGGTATAGTGAAAAAAAAATAGACTGTTGAAAAAAATCTCGTAAAATTCTACTTTTAGAACTAATAATGAATGATAAATATTAATAAAAATGGATACCAATTACCAATAATAGAAATATCTAACTTAAGTTAAAAGAAAAAAATATGAATCAAGGTTCGTAGAACAGGTAAAATCTTATCTTAAATTTAGATTTCAAACACTAAATCACATTATTAACAGTTTTTAAATCGTATTATAATTTTTTTTTTTTTTTTTTTTTATTATAAAGAACAAGGCCTCGACAACATAGGTCATTGGTCGCAAATGATGATTACACATTAATTATTACATTATAGGTAAATAATTATAAATATATAGTAGGTAACAAAACAATAAGAATTAGATGCGAAAGAAGCAAAATACAGAGAATAAAAGTTAAATGGTTTTGTATAAATTGGTGTCTCTTATAAAACTTAGTGTACTGTTGATATTTTGAGGTTCATTGTTGAGATATACGGCGATGCTACTTGGAATGTTGTGTTTAGTTCTTTCTTCATTATATTGGCGGCATTCTAAAAGGAGATGTTTGATGGAGATATTGGATCCGTAGGTGATGTATGGTTCTGAGTCTGTTTTGTCCACGAGGTGTTTGTGGGTATGCCAGGAGTGTCCAATCCTTAAGCGGGTTAGAATTACTTCCTGTTGTCTAGTTATGTTTGATGGGTTAATCCATCTATCGGTGGTGGGTTTAATCTCTCTTAATTTGTTGTCCCTCAGAAAATGCCATTCCTTACGCTATAAGTTTGTTATGATATTTTTGGCTTCTCTTTTAAGATCATTTTTAGAAGGCAAGTTCAATACTTCGATGGTTTGATCACTGGTTGCTTGTTTTGCCATCATGTCTGCTCTTTCGTTACCTTCAATTCCGGTGTGGCTAGGAATCCATGTTAGTGTTATAAGTTTATTAGTATTGTTGAGAAGATTAATAATATTATTGGTAATTTCGTTATTTTTTTGGGGGTTTTGGATACTTAAAAGTGTACTCAGAGAGTCGGTTAGTATGTTGAAGGTGTTGTTAGGCATTTCCTTGATTATATGGATTGCTTTTTGGATCGCTAAGGCTTCTGCGGTGAAAATGCTGTTTAGGATAGGTAATCTAAATTTGTATTCTGAACCATTGATTATTATTGCGAATGCAATACTGTTTTCGGTTTTGGATGCGTCAGTAAAAACTAATACCTGATCTCTGTTTTTTCTTTAAAAAGATTTCTAAATAACTGGGGGGCGGTGTTTCCTTTGTTGTTTTCAGCAAAGCTAAAATCAATTTCAAAATTATTTGGTCTCCAAGGTGGTTTAGTCAGAATTTCGGATTTTATTATATGTTTTGGGTTTATATTATGGGCATTAAAAAAGTTTTCAATCCATCTGCCAATTGGTTTGCTTATGTTGGTCTGTAGATAATATACATTATTGTATCTTTTGTCGAATAAGGAATTATAGGTCGGGTTGTTTAGATATGAGGCTATTTTGAATGCGTATTGTAGTTCGAGTAATTTGCGTCTTTTTTTTAGGGATATCTCCCCGGTAATGCATAGAAGACTTTTGATCGGGCTGCTTTTAAATGCACCTGTTATTAGGCGTAGATTGTTATTTTGAATTGTTTCGAGTTTTTCTAGACTTGTTGATTTTGCACTGCCGTATATGATAGCACCGTATTCTATTTTAGATCTAATTAGTGTTTTGTAAACATTGTGAAGAATTTTACTTTGAGCACCCCATTTGTTGTTCGCTAGTATTTTTATTATGTTGGTGGTTTTGGAAGTGTTTGTTTTTAAGACTGAAAAGTGCTTGTTCCAGTTCAGTTTGTTATCGAAGGTCATTCCAAGGATTTTGATGTTATTGACTAAGGGAATAACTACATTGTCGAGTTTTATTTCTGGTTTAAGTGCTCTTTTTGTTTTCTTAGAAAATCTATGCATTTGGATTTAGTTGATGAAAATCTGAAACCATTTTTTTTGCTCCAATCATTTATGATATTTACACTAAGCTGGATGTTTTCTAAAATGGATTTATTATTTTTGCCTTTGCAGTGTAAATTTATGTCATCGGCAAAAATGTTGACATATGTGGGCAGTTTTATTATTTTGGTGACTTCGTTGATTGCAATTAAGAAAAGTGTAACACTAATGGAGGAGCCTTGTACCACTCCATTGACTAGAGTGAATTCTTCAGAGAGCGTGTTGTTAATTTTTACAATGAATGATCTATCTGATAAGAAATGTTGTAGATAAGCATGAATGTTGCCGTGGATCCCCCAGTTGTATAAAGTTGTGAGCACCTTGTACCGCCATACGGTATCATAAGCTTTGCATATGTCCAGACATATAAGTATCATACTTTGTTTCCGGAAACCAAATAGTTTTTCCTCAAGTAGGTTTTTTTTTTCCCAGGTACCAACTGAGTCTGTTATTTATTATTCTTTCTAATAATTTACTTAATGCACATAGGAGCGATATAGGCCGATAACCTTCAGTGGTATGTTGGTTATTTGACGATTTTGGGATGGGGATTATTGTTGCTTTCTTCTATTGTTTGGGGAATTTGTTGGTCAGATAGAGCTTGTTGAATATTTTTAATATTAAGTTAATTCCTTGGGTAGGTAAGTGTCGTATAAAGTCTATAGGAATATTGTCAGGACCACAACTCTTGCTTTTGGATTTATTGAGACTTAACATTATTTCGCTAATAGTAATTTAATCATTTAATGCTCTTAGGTCTTCATCTATGAGCGAGAACGCTTGCGGTGTTTTAAATATATTGTAATCCTCATTATCTTTTTTGTGTACTAGGAAAAGTGGGTCTAGTGATGAGTTATTGCTATTTTCTTCAAACTTACGACCAAGTTCATTTGCTATGTCTATAGATGCTGTTAAGTTTAGGGTATTAGTTTGTAAAAATTTGATGTTTTTGTGTACTGGTTTATTTTTTATTGCTTTAATTTTTCCCCAAACTTCGGATGGGGGAGTAGAGGTTGTTAATGTTTTAGTAAAGTGCTTCCAAGCTAGTTTTTTGCTATCAATAATGGTTCGTTTGGCTATAGCTCTGAGTCTTTTAAAATCAATTAAGTTGAATATATTTTTGGTTTTTTTGTATTTGTTATAGGCTTTTTTTTGTTCCTAATAGATATATCACAAGCTTTGTTCCATCAGGGGACCGAAGGGTTTTTTCCTTTGTATCGTGTAATTCCTATTGATTTGGAGGCTGAGGTTAAAATAATATTTTCGAGAGTTGCAAGTGTTACTTCGGCATCTTCATTTTCGGGTATAAACAATTTATCTAATTCATAGTTGGTTAATTGTGTATACAATTCCCAATTTGGGCTTTTTAGATTCCATTTAGGGGGGGGAGTTCGTAGAGTTCCACGTTATTACGATACTTAATGTTAATAATGATGGGCCAGTGGTCACTACTATATATTGCTGGTATTACTTTCCATTCGGAATTGCAACCTATTGAGGTAGACGATAGAGTTAGGTCGATTGAAGATGTATTGCCTGAAGCTGTTGTTAAGTATGTGTCATTTCCATCATTTAATAACATAATATTAGGGTTATCCAGAATTGTTTCAATGATACGACCTCTGGCGTCAGTGTGTTGAGAACCCCACAGACTGTTATGGCTATTAAAGTCACCAAGTAAAAAAAAAGGTGTTGGAAGTTGATTTATTATATCTTGAATATCATTTAGGTTGAATTTAGTGAGGTTAGGTAAATAGATGTTACATATTGTTAAGTTTTCTTTGGCTTTTAATCTGATTGCAATTACTTCCAGATGGGATATTATTGGTATTTCTTGTACTGGGTACGAAGTGTCCTTAAAAATGGCAACTCCCCCACTGGCCCTGCTGCAGTTAATTCTATTTTTGGTGAAAACTTGGAAACCTTTAATGTTGGGCAATGACTTGTGTGTAAAGTTGGTTTCTTGTAAGCAGCAAATAATATTGGGGTTTTGTGTGTTGATTAAAATTTTGATTTCGTTGAGTCTATTGAAGAAACCATTTACATTCCATTGGAGGATATTAATATTTGAGTTGTTTGTTGAAATTGTATTAAATGTATTTTTACTATTCATTTTTTGATTTTTTTTTTTTTTAACTAATGCGGTAGGAAAGTGGTTTGTTTTAGTTTTATGTGTCTGAATTTAACTGTTTGTCTAGATATGTTTTGAATAATTCGTTATGCAGACGCGTAAAACATATTTTACTACTGTTGCGAACATACATAAATGTAGGTTCTTACGACTACCAATACATGGGGTCCACATAAATAACATTGGGGCTTGCATTATAATATACATTCTTACCCACGCAAATACAAATTACACTATATGTGAAAACACCATGATATCTACGTGGTGGACATACATAATATATGCCCTTGTGAATATCCAAATCTTACAGAGGAGTCACATACAAATAACTTGTTGCAAAAACCGAAACAACATCAGGACGTGCCTTCACAAGGTAATAAAATTGGCATCGGTTGCAAATGACCGAAACAATATAAAAAACATTTCCTTAAATGTATTATAAAATTGGCTAGTAGATACTTTTCGAAGGGGGTCTAGAATATTAATATTAACATCAAACTATGTCCGGGTCAAATATCCCATAGGAACGGAGTATATAAGGTAGTCCCGAACAGACTATTAGGCAGATGTGGTTTACAGGTACAGTCGCAAGCACCTTCACGCCACATTATTTCTTAAATTAATGTTTTGTACTAAATAAACAGTTTGAATTACAATTGAGTATTTTTATTGAAGTATTATCCTTAAAAAACTTAACCATCAATTACTATTGAGCGACGGCACGCAACACTACTATTTGATTGAAGTTTAGGTCTGACTTTTTCAATTATATCTATCATAGCTTTTATCGAAATGTTATACTGTTCGAGTATAAGTTCTGGATCTGGGTCACATTGTATTTTTTCGATTATATCTCTGAACTGTATGTAATTGATTGGTAATTTCTTATTATTGTCAACAAAACTTTTAATTGGTAATAAATGTGTATCAATGTTTTCTATGAAATTTTCAGTCGCGGGAGTTAATTGTTTTTTTTTTAGGGTTAGTTTTATGTGTTTTGATTTGGTTTGGTGATGGAGTCACCTTGTTTGATATTGTTGAAGCCGACAATGTGGGCGATTGTGTTGAAACTGATCTTTTGGTATTTGGAAGTGGTTCTGTCTCAATTGGTTGGTCTTTATTGTCGGTTTGAGAGTGGTCCATTGGTTCGTAAAAATCAAATTCCGAATCTGGATGTACAGGTGTTTTAGGTTCGTCTAATTTTAACTGAGTTTGGGTATTTGACACAGGGCTAATATTAATTGTCTCAGAGGTTTTAAGCTCATCTGCTTTGGGGCAATTGTTTGAAGTATGTCCGATTTTTTTGCATAGAAAACAGGTTAATTCGTCATTAGAAAGAAATATCCGATAGTTTGCGTTTTCGAAATTGATTGGTATGGAGCTAGGCATTTTGTTTTCGTCATTAGGTGATATATACATTTGGCGTCTAAAACTGAATATGTGTGTAAGACCTTCAATGTGAAGACCTGCGCGTAAAAATGATATAGGACTGGTGGGTGTTATGTTGTGTTCTTTAAGTGCTTCTATTATTGTTTCGTGTGGTACATTGGGGTATACATTTGCAAGGATAATTCTTTTGTCCGGATTGTATAGCTTTCTTAATTTAATATTTTGACCTTGCACTACTAAATTTTCGTTGTCTTTAATTAATTTATTAGTTAGGTCTTTTGTCGATAAGAAGATACACATTCGTTTTTTTGATATTTTGGACACGAAAATAATGTTTTCTGGTTTGATTATTTTTCCTATTTCAATAATGTAATCTTTTAATTGTATTTCTTCGTTTTCTATGTCAAATATAATAGCCTGATCTTTTTTTGGAAACGGATTTGGATTTAGTGTTTCTTTGAAGGTTTTATTTTTGGTTACAATATTTTGATGTGTTAAATTGTTTTCCATGTTTTTTGAGGTGTCAGGAACGAGATTTTCGGTTAATTGTTTTGGTGAAGAAGGTGGCATGTTTGATTTAGATGTTTGATGTTTGATCTGGTTTAGTATAGACATTTTATGTTGGGTTGAATTGGAGTTAAATCACCGCGCGACGGCGGTAATTTAATTGGTTTGTTCTATAATTTAGTAAGATATAGGTATATGTGTATATTAAATTACATATTACCTGTGATAAGTGTCGACCTTGATGTTATATAACGTGCTAACGACAGCTATAAAGCGATAACGGACACAAAGGCAACACACGTGCTGCTTGTACGATAGCGGGACACGAACTGGTTATTATAATTGTAAACATATCAAGTAGACCTCAAAATCAAATTTAGATATAAAAATATTTTAAGTAGGAGTGGTGTATAAAACCTAAATGTTTAATCGAGGTGTTCATAGTATTACAAAAAAAGAACAAATAATGTTATTGAAAATTACATGAAAATAAAAAATGTACCTACGTACAAATGTAAAATTCCAAGAAATATTTTTTTTATTAATTTGTATATTATGTTAATCGATTCCTAAATTAAATTTTTTTTAATAATATTTGGTAAATTTTATTAAACAGATTCAAAATACAATTAAAAGTACAGTAACATAAATATAATAGATAATTTAAAACAAAAATTATTTAATGTGTACATGGGAACTAAAAATGTTTGATTTTTTTTTAAATTTTATGTAATTGGATATAAATCAGTGATGGGAAAAATCCGGATTCGCTGAAGTTTGAAAATCCGGATTTTTGAGGTTCAAAATCCGAAATCTGGATTTTACTGTAAACCCAGATTTCGGATTTGAAAACATTGAATTAGTATTCTTTCAAGAATTATTTATAGAAAATACAAAATAATTAAACATTCTTAAAATTAACCATATTTTAACATAACCTAATTAAGAATCTCACATACAAGTTTTTGTGTAATATTAAATATATAAGTCGGATATCATAAAATACATTTTAGTTATTATTAGTTTACCATTATTTTCTCCAAAAATAATGGTACGCAAGACTTGAACTGTCTACCGATTATTAAGATATCTTATTTAGACCACCATCATCTTGTCTGAGAATTAAAAAACGACTAAAAATTGGTGTAATGAAAGTTATATGATTAGAATACAGAAATTTGTAATAATAAACCCAAATCTCGGATTTTCTAGCCTGAAATCCGAAATCCAGATTTGACAGATTTTCGAAGAACCCCGATTTTATTCCCATCACTAGTGTAAATAGGTACATAAGATTTTCGAAAACGTAGCAAATCATGGAATATTTATTTTCCAAAAAATAAAAACAAACTACTTTATAAAGGTTTAATCAGTTAGGGAACTATTATCAAACTAAATAATTTTATGTGATTTCATTCGTGGCTCTAATGTATTATTAATATTAAGCGAAAAGGATTAAATTGTTAAGTTATACAAATTGGTTGTAATGCATTTAAATTAAAAAAACATGTTTTTAAGATTATCAACAACACTACTATGATCATAGATTATTATATTGGTTCAAAATACAATAAAATATTTTTTATTCGTAAAAATTAAAATGTATTTATAAGATTACCTGAAGCATCTTTCAATAATTTGATACAAGTAGTGTTTTCTGTATTGAGGGCTATATCCAGTGCTGTAAGTCCATTAGAGTCTTGCAACATTACATTTGCATTGTGATTTAAGAGAGTTTGGATGTTTTTTGGACATCCAATATATGCACTTATATGTAATGCAGTCTGTAAATAAAAAAAGATCATAAAGAATTTTTTAATTAAGTTATATTACTTATATTACCATTAATTAATATAAATTATTTAAAATATAAGACGTTTAAAAAAGGATAAGGTATATTTATACTACAAAAGAAAAAAAGAGAAAAAAATCTTACGAATATAATCCTATATTAATTATAATAAATGTGAAATACATGAAAAATGAATAAGAATTTTTAAAATTTGTAAGGAACTCTAATTTAAATTGTATTGAACTATTATACCAGAGGTTTTTGGTAATTACATACTCGCAAATCGCCACGAGATCCGCAAGGTGTATCGACAAGGGCTAAAATTAAAAAATTAAAATTCACTTTTAGAGAGTAACCAGCTGTTTTTTACATGTAATAGTGATGTGCATTACCACCGGCATTAAGTAATATTTCCAAACAACCAGAACCCTCATTTGAACATGCCGCATGAAGAGCAGTACGGCCCCACGAATCACGACTGTTGACAAATTTTTTATGTTCGTCATCTTTGAGAAGGTCTGTCAAGAAGTCTATGTTGTCCCATAATGCTACCTGCACGATCAAAACATGTTAAATCACAGTGCAGCAAGACAGGTGATAGATGTGCTGTCTATGGTTATATGAGAACCCTTTGGAATTGTTTACCTGATGTAACAGCCGTCCCGGGAAATCTTCGTCTTCGGCCATAGTTCCAAAGCGATTTCAGTGAGAAATATGCAGCCCGTCACAGCAAACATCTCACGACTGGCGTTTACCGAGCGGCTTACCTCGAAAAAGAAGCATTTTATTTGCACTTACATTACTGGTCTACAACACCCAACGCTGGCGCGTACACACACACACACACACCTGTGACAACAAAAACATTGTCAAAGCACACGAAACGCTACGGGACAGCAAAAGTTCGAACATGAATCGCGATGCATCGAATTTGATTTTATCAACGTTACCGTGTAATCACGCTGTCGTTATCAACGGGAAGTGGACCGCGACTTAGTCAGAACTACAGATGTGCACAACAACAGTATATTTTGATTTAAATTACGTCTACGGACCGATACCGTTGGGATATCGGTTAAAACGGTTAATACCAACCGAAAAAGGGATACGCACGTCCAGTGTTACCGTGCGTCGACGAACGAGTGGGCAGGTCGAGCGGCAGCAGCTGTTCTTGTTCATCAATTCCTCTTATCGCGTTTCTGTTTGGTTCGAACAAATTGCTTCACTCCTCGTCACATTCCGGTTCCGGCCAGTTTCTGATCGATCTGTCCAATAAGTTTTAAAGTTATTCGCGTGTGTAGTTATAAATTTCTTTCGTATAAATCGTTTGTGACGTTAGCAAGATGAACGGTTCGTCGGTTTTGAGAAAAAACAGTCTGAAGGTAACAAGTTTAATGCAAATAATCGTTGGTACAAAAGAAACGCATACTCTCCCGTTTAACCTACAGAAGGTCAAATATTGTGTCTCTTATGATTGTTTGTTATTTACTATTTACTATTTAGTTAAATTGTTTTTATTATTTCATGGTAATAGTTGTATCAGAACACTTTTATGTTGTTTTACTTTGAAATGTAATTGTGTAGGTTAAATAAAGATTAGGTCAATGGTAGATGGGTGTTAAACAGTAAAATAATTTTTTTTGGCTTTAGTAATGTCAAATTGAACTAGTTATTTATCTAATACAATTTTGTTTTCTATTAAAGAAATATGTTTTATTCATATTGTAGCCAAAACCTAAACAGCAACCAGGAAAATTTGTTAGTGTAACAAAATTATTTTTTTTAAGCCTCAGTTTTTTTTTATATACTTAGAAATATTTAAAAATATTGAGTTTATTTTTAACGTAATACATTAAGGAAGTTGCCAAAAGTCTTTGTTTACATTTGTATAAACTTATATTCAAAATAAAATTTCCATTTAGAAATAGTATCGATTTGTAACTTAAATAATGGATAGTATTAAACTGTTACATTAAAACAAGCAATCTAGTTTATATGTTTTCATTGTTTACTTTACTTAATTTTTAAGTTTAATTAACTGTACTTTAATTAAGTAAAAATAAAATAAAACTATGAATTCAATATTTATTTTTTTATCTTTAAAATAATGTAATATAGCCATAAAGACTACTAAATAATTATGACATTACACTGTATTTATTTATTGTATTATATTTCAACTTCACAACATTTTTATACTAAATATATATGTTTTGAGATAGGTATCTACAAATACTCACCAATTTCGTCCACAAGTAAGAAAATAATTGATCATAGTTATATATTGTGATATTTTTAGGTCTTATTTAGGTATTTAATTATAAAAAATTCAAATTATGTTAATTTTTTACCTGAAACTGTTAATAATTTTTGTTTTGAAATTATAAAAATATGACTTATCATCTTACCTTACAGAGAATGTCAATCCAATGTCTTACATTAATTTACATTTATCTGTATTATTCAATGAATTCAATCAATAGATAGTGATATTATTGGGCTCAACTAATAAAGCTTTCAACGTCTTTAAATATGATCATCTGAAAAGTATTATACATTTTACAAAATATTTTCTATACCACTACCTCAACCAGTGGTGTAAATTGGGTGGTGCAAATGTGGCACTTACAACACCATATCTAAAATGTGGTGGTCCAAAGATATATTTTGCACCACCAGAAAATTATTAAAATTTGTATACCCATAATATTATTTTCAAGAGCCAAGAAAATCAACATACTAAAAACAAAATTTGACTGTTTTTTTTTTTTATTCATATTATAATAATAAAGGTTTTACTGCTAAAATAATTCAAAATTTATTTGTTATTTAAAGAAAAATATGGGAAAATATATAGTTTATTGGGAAGAATTTTACTTAGGAAATTGGAAAATTGGTGTGTTGGGAATTATAAGTTGATAATATGCTTCTGTACCACCAGATATTGGATCCAATTTACACCACTTTTCTCAACCATATTCTAATACCTCAACATTTTATAATTGTTTATAAAATATTTTTTGTCTTGTGCTCGTTAATTATTTTACTACTAGTAATAAATGTATTAGATACATTAAAAATAACAAACTGCTTAAATGTTTATGAAATATAATACTATTTAATTTAATTAATTAAAACATATATATTATATCTAAAAAATTACATATATTGGTTATTATTACAATATTTATATGCTCAATGGAAAAATTAAAAAATAACATTTTCACAAATTAATGTATAGTATATTGTACATCATAGATGTTAATTTTTTAATACTTCTGGAGTATTATAATTTAGAAAATTATAAACCATTTATAACTTTAGTATCAGTTATATGAAAAAAAATGATTTTTTTTTCAAATTAAAACTGATAAACTATGTGAAAAAAATTTTTTTTAATACTGTCATAACTGATAAATGTTCAATAACTAAATTAACTAAATTTTTATATTTATAAATAATTACTTACTTCGAAAATTTTAAATATGCTTCAAGGTACTTATAGATATTTTACATTCTTAAATATTTAAAATACTAAGTTATTATTTAATATAAATTTAAAAATTATTGCAAATAAGTTTCCTGACTAAATTATGTTTTAAGTTTTGCCAAAGAATTCTTACATCTATTCTCTTCCATATATAACAAATATTAATTATTTGCTGTACATTTATGGTGTATGAGCAAGTTAATTAATTTTATTTTTATTTTGTTATATCATAATTTTGGAATTTCATAATTATAACACATAACATTAGATATAGTGAATGTTTTGTATGATGTGACTGACCTAGTTATTTAACAGATATTCTTGTTTTTATTTTTTTTTCTCTTTTAAATTAGTTTTATGTTATTTACAGAATGTTTTATCCATATTAGAGAGCCGTCTTTTTTCAAGCGCCTCAGAAGCAACATTTGAAACTAAGGTAATTATTATTCTTATTAATTTAATTATTATAAATTTATATTTACTAAACTAGTAACTTTTTTAATTCTATAGCCATTTAAATTACATAAGCTCGAAAATGGACCAAACACTAATGTTACTTTGTCCAGGGAGGACGCTCTTAAATATTATACACAAATGCAAACTATTCGTCGTATAGAAACTTCTGCTGGTAATTTATACAAGGAAAAAATTGTCAGAGGTTTTTGCCATCTCTACTCTGGACAAGTAAGTTAACAATTTGTTAAAAATACTTATAGCTCTAGAGTTACAAATAGTTGGAATTAATGATTTTAGCCATTTTATTTAAATTCCATAATTATAAGTAAAAAAGGTTTTTTTCACCTATATTTAATCAATGATTTGATGTTTAATGTCCAACAAAATTAATGGTATTGTACCTCAAATCACCTAGTGTATGCTATTGGGTTATAAAAAAAGACTTAAACTATATTTTTAAGCTATAAACATATAAAATATTTATTTATTTGTATTGCAGGAAGCATGTGCTGTTGGAATGAAAGCCGTGTTTCGTGATACAGATTCAATAATTACTGCATATCGTGCTCATGGTTGGACATATCTTATGGGTGTGGATCCATTTGGTGTATTAGCTGAATTAACAGGCCGTAAAGGTGGAAATGCTCGTGGTAAAGGTGGTTCTATGCACATGTACGCTAAAAACTTTTATGGAGGCAATGGTATTGTTGGTGCCCAGGTTAGTAAATGTTTTTATTTTAGTATAGAAATTTAAAATTCAAGTATAATTCTTATTTGTATTTTTATTATTAACATACTTTTTGCATAAATATATTAAAAGTGTGTATTATTTCATTTTTAGGTACCACTTGGTGCTGGCATAGCTTTTGCTGCTAAGTATAATAAAACTGGTGGTGTTTGTTTCACATTATATGGCGATGGAGCTTCTAATCAAGGACAAGTATTTGAGGCTTATAATATGTCAAAATTGTGGAATCTACCTTGTGTATTTGTTTGTGAAAATAATGGCTATGGCATGGGAACTAGTGCTGAACGTTCATCTGCTAGTATAACATTTTATTCACGGGGAGATTATATTCCTGGAATTTGGGTGGATGGCATGGACGTTTTAGCCGTCAGAGAAGCTTCTCGTTTTGCTATTGATTATTGTTCTAGTGGTAAAGGGCCCTTAGTTATGGAAACAGCTACTTATCGTTATTCTGGACACTCTATGTCCGACCCTGGAACATCTTACAGAACTCGTGATGAAATTCAAGAAGTACGACAAACAAGAGATCCTATTACATCTTTCAAAGAAAAAATTATTGGAGCTAATTTAGTTAATATTGATGAACTAAAGGTAAATGCATATATTTAAACCCATGTGTATTGAATGTTTAAATAATTATTTTATAAAAAAAATATATATAATAATGAAATTATGTTGTAAATATTATTGTTTTGATTTTCTTGTATGTCAATTACTTTTTGTTATATGTATTCTTAAATTAAGTCCAAGTTAATATTCGTAATTATTTAATTTAAAATCAATATTTAAACTGATAATAAGTAATAATTCAAATTACCAGATAATTGTATAGGTGCTTTTCCTATTTATATAATAATTAATCATGATATAACTGTTAATTTATTGATTTTATTTTAGAAAGTAAAAATAATAAAAATATTAAGTTTTAAAATATTTAATATTTTAATTTGAAAGATTTGTATTTTTGTTTAGGAAATTGACAAAGAAGTTAAAGCTCAAATTGATGATGCTGTTAAGAAAGCAAAAACAGATACGGAAGTCCCATTGGCTGATCTTGCAGGTGACATATATTCTAAACCACTCGAAACAACTATTAGAGGAGTTACTCCATTTAAAAATTTGGAACACATTCGAATTGGACCAGCTGTCAATTTAAATTAAAATTAACAATTAACAATTGTTCATTGTATAATTGTGCAAATTGTATTTTTACAAAATATTAAGTCCAGTTATTGTTTTCTTCATTGTTTGTAAGTTATATATATTGTTAGATGCTCCTCACGTAATGACTGCTATATTTTTCAGATTGTGAAAAAAAATTATTTTTTTTAGACAATAGATATATCATAAATTTATGTACCTTGGGAATTTTTGACAATGCTAGAAATCAAAATGTATACTTAAGCAATAAATTATGATACTTGTTAACAAATATTTTGTTATCTCTTTTTAATAATATTTATAAGTACATTTAAAATAACTAAATATTTAAATACTAAAAGACTTATTAAAGATAAAATATGACTATAGTAATCAGACTGAATCAAATCCAAACATCTAATATTTTTTTTTATTAGCTGACAATTGATATCTTTTTTAAGTATTTAAGATTTATCTAAGTAAATATATTTTTTTTTAAATATTTAATGGCATGAATAAAATCATCTAAATAACAAATTTAATATATTTTAATACCTGGATGATGTACATAAAATAATAAAAAAAAAATATTTTAATCATACAGGTAATTATATTTATTTTATTTTATATTATTTTATTTCAAGAACGAAGTACTTATTTATAAATTCTCAAAGTACACAGCTATTCCTATCTAATATCTGGGCGGCCTTGACTAATATTACAAATGTTCCTGTATAGTATATTATAATATTATGTATTTTTTATTTACACTACATTTTTAGTGTATATTGATAAATCAGTTAAAAAAAAACTGTATTATAAAAATGTCAATCTAACCAGTTTAATAATTTTCGATCTTATTTCAATATAATTTTATGAATGCAATTCAGTGTATTTAAAATTGGAAATAAAATGAAACTTCCATTTTTTTAACTTTCAAGATGATATTTTTATATCAGAAGCATTTTGAGAATCCTGTTGTCGCTTTGTAACAAGCCTATTACACTATAGTCGCGGCAACGAAAACTGGCCGGTTACCCCCGTGACCCGCCTGTCATATACCGACGGCTAGCCTTGGGTTCTCAAACTGCACCGCACCGCCACCGAGATGTTTACACAATAGGCGCACGGCATGTGTTTTTTTTTTTTGTTACACGGTCCCTTATTCAATTCATAATTTAGGTACCCATCTAAAACTGGTATAAAACAGCTGGAATGTATTATGGACGAATCGTAAACGTGTATAGTATAGTGTATACGTCTGTTGATTTTGTATTTTTGTGCATTATGCTACAGACATTTGTAACAGACGGTGTGTTGTAGCTACGTTTTTGAAATCAATTTTGTGAATATTTGTTTTTTTTTGTGTTTGAATACATTTTTTGTACAAGGATCTATTAAAAATGTCTTTAAATAGTGATACACGCAGCCAGAGTAAACAAATTGTTTATAATGTTTATAAATTTTTAAAAGTACTGTCATCAAAATCGGATTTAACTGCCGATTTCTTTAAACAAACATAAATACGTACCGGCGAAGCTTGTGGATTGTCAGAGCGCACTGTCAGACGTATTTGTTCTGAAGTAAAACATTCAGAAGATAAACCCGATGAATCAAAGCCAGTTTTATCATTCAAATCTCCACGCAAAGGCTACAAACGTGCGAAAATTGTATCAGAGATCGACGATTTTGATGCAGATGTCGTTAGAAGAACGGTGCATGAGTTTTACGATCGAGGTGAGTATCCAACTGCGAATTTAATATTAAATGCTTTAAAACAGAAAATCAATTATTCCGGTTGCTTACGTTCGATGCAAAACCTGTTGAAGAATTTGAAATTTTCTTATAAAAAGTGTAATGATGGCCGAAAATTCTTAATGGAGAGAAATGACATGGTTGCACTTCGATGTAAATTCCTTCGAGAGATTTGTACGCTGCGCAAGGTAAAAGATGATCGCCCTATTGTTTATATTGACGAAACATGGGTCAATCAAAACCATACGAGGTCAATGATATGGCAAAATGAAGGTAGCACTGAAGGTTTGAAAGTTCCTACGGGAAAAGGAGGTCGGCTTATCGTGTGTCACGCTGGATGTGCGCGTTACGGGTTTATTCAAGGGTCCAAACAAGTATTCCGTAGTAATACAGGCAATACCGCTGACTACCATAGTCAAATGAATGCTGAAATATTTCAAAAATGGTTTGTTGAACTATTAAATAATCTTGAAGAGCCGTCTGTCATAGTAATGGACAATGCGTCATATCATTCCACGTTGGTAGAAAATTACCCAAAAAGCAATTGGAAAAAAGCTGACGTACAAAAATGATTGAATGAAAAAAATGTTAAGTTTAGTCCGCTTAAGACGTTACCAGAACTTCATCAAAAAATTAAAGCCTTAATTCCACGCGAAAAGCAATATTTGCTTGACCAAATCACTTTAGAAAATGGACATGAAATAATACGGTTACCTTCTTATCATTGCCAATACAATCCAATCGAACTTATATGGGCCCAAGTTAAGAGTCAAGTGGCGAAAAACAATCATACGTTCAAGATGGTGGATATCGAACGTCTTACCCACGAAGCGTTAGATGCGGTAACCAAAGAGGATTGGGAGAAGTGTGTAAAACATGCCGAACAATTACAGGAGTTAGATAACCAAAAGGAAATCCTTAGAGACGCTTTAATGGAACCTATAATTTTGACGATATTGCCTGATGATAGCGATTCCAGTGATGGAGAATTAGATACAGAGCAATTAGAATAACTAATTTTATTATATTTATATTATCTATAATATAAAAATGAATCGCAAAATATGTTGGTAAGCGCATAACTCAACAACGCCTGGACCAATTTGGCCAAATCTTTTTTTCAAATGTTCGTTGAAGTTCAAGGATGGTTTTTACGGCGAGAAAAATTAGAATTATTGCTGGAAAAACCCTAAAAATAGCCCTTTTTGACTAGGTCGATAACTGCACAATTGAAAATGAATTATTAAATAAAACTATTAAAAAACTATTAAAAAACTATAAAAAAAACTATTTAAAAACTATTAATTTTATTTTTGGTAGTAAATGACGGTTATTGCATAAATATTAAACAAAAAAAGATCCCGCAACAGGTGTCAAAACAAATAAGAATGTTAGTTCGAAAAATTATTATGCATATCGGTTGATGATTAAACGAGATCAAGACAAAATTATTCTACGATATCATGAGTTTCGTCAACAATTCATGGTCGAAATGTATGTAAAGATAGAGAGCGAACGATTTTGATACTTGCGATTTAATCAAAAAAAGCTGCGTGCAGAAGATTCTCAAAACAATTGTTAGATATTGGAGATGGGAAAGTTACTACAGATAAAACGGAATGTATAAAATTACCGACCGATTTCTGCACAATCATTTATTCGCAAGATGCTCTCATTGACTAGATATTTTCCAATGTACACAGACAATACATAAATCATGAGTGGCTGGCAGAAAGGGCAATTTTAGTAGTAAAAAATGTGGACGTCAACGAATTGAATCTCAAGATAAACATTTATTACCAGGAGACATGGTGTCATACAAATCTATAGATATAGTTTGCTATGCTACTGAAGCTGTAAATTATCTAACAGAGTTTTTAAACTCATTGGACTTACCAGGCATGCCACCGCATAATTTACAATTGAAGGTTTGTTCTTCGGTTATTTTGCTTCATAATTTGACCTACCACGGTTGTACAACGACACGCGATAAGTTGTTAAAAAATTAATAAAAAATGTTATCGAAGCCATAATTTTAAATGACAAATTCCGAGGTGAAAATATATTATTACCGTGAATCTCTATTATACCCACAGATGTGCCAATACAATTTAAACGCTTTAAATTTCCAATTAGATTGGCATTTGCAATGACTATCAATAAGTTTCAAAGCCAAACAATCTTTCGCAAACACAAACTGGATGGCTCGAGAGCACACCACGTATAATTATCCGTGTGAAAAATATGATGTGCTCAAATCTAAGCTACAGACATTGTATTACAAAAAATATTGTACACTCTATTGCATTAAGGGATAGATATTGTTTTTTACTTATATTGTCATAATTAGCGATATATATTATTTTAATGGATCAATTTTAATAAATTATTAAAAAAATAAATGTTTGATGTTTTTTCATTTTTATATTTCGTTACCATTCATAGCACGCCATATATCTTCCTTACATCCTTATCCTTACCCACATTCTTACATGCCTATATTTAATTAGTTATTTTTTTCTAGCAAAATATTCTCTAGAAATAATTTATATGACAAAACAACGTTTGTCGGGTCACACATCAACGTTGAATCTTGCCATTCAGTGAAATCTATTAAATACATTTGCAAATATGTAACCAAAGGGAGTGATATGGCTGTGATTGGAATTGGTGCAGATAATTCCAATGATGAAGTTACCCAATACCAAATGGGCCGCTATGTCAGTAGTAATGAAGCAGTTTGGCGAATATTTTCTTTTCTTATTCATGAGAGACACCCTTCTGTTGTTCACTTAGCTGTGCATTTAGAAAATGGACAAAGAGTGTATTTTACAGCACAGAACGCAGTACAAAGAGATGCTCAGCCACCATCTACTACATTAACCAGTTTTTTTGAGACATGCCAAAACGATGATTTCGCACAAACATTGCTATATTCTGAAATGCCAAAATATTATACCTGGAATCAATCCTCAAGGAGATTTATACGACGGAAACAAGGAAAACCAGTTCCAGGATATACAGATGTATATTCCACCGATGCGATTGGCCGGATTTATTCAGTACATCCAAGCAATGATGAATGTTTTTATTTACGACTGCTATTGGTCAATGTACGTGGCCCAACATCATTCCAACAGTTACGAACTGTTGATGGTGAATTGTGTGGATCCTACAGAGAAGCCTGTCAACGTTTGCAATTGCTTGAAAATGACGCTCATTGGGATCAAACTCTCAATGATGCTGTAATATCATCACATGATTGTTTGGGATGAATGCACGATGGCACATAAAAAATCTTTGGAGGCTTTGGACAGAACCTTAAAAGATCTACGGAGCAATAATAACTGATTTGGTGGTGCAATGATTTTATTAGCAGGAGATTTTCGTCAAACATTGCCGGTGATTCCACGATCAACGCCAGCTGATGAACTCAATGCATGTCTAAAGTCCTCCAGTTTGTGGAAACATGTCAAAGTACTTCATTTAAGCAAGAATATGCGTGTCGAGTTGCAAAATGACCAATCTGGAAACATATTCTCTAAACAACTCATTGACATTGGTAATGGCAAATTTCCTATAGACATGTTGACTGGCTGCATTAACTTTCCTCAAAGTTTTTGTCAGTTAACTCGATCAAAAGATGAACTTATTCAGAAGGTGTTTCCAGATGTTTCTCAAAATTACAGAAACCATGATTGGTTGAGCGAACGAGCTATACTGGCTGCAAAAAACATAGATGTAAATGAATTAAATTTCAAAATTCAAGAACAAATTACAGGCGAATTGAGGATATATAAATCAGTTGATCCGGCTACTAATCAAGATGATGTAGTCAACTATCCACCGGAATTTTTAAACTCGCTGGATTTGCCAGGATTGCCACCTCACAATCTTCAATTAAAGGTTGGATCGGTGGTTATAATGTTGCGAAATATCAACCAACCGCGTCTTTGCAACGGTACACGGTTAGCGATAAAAAAATTACTAAATAATGTGATAGAAGCAACTATACTCAAAGGAAAGTATAAAGGAGAAGATGTTCTCATACCGCGCATCCCAATGATTCCGACTGATGTGCCATTTGAGTTTAAACGACTACAGTTTCCAGTGCGTCTTGCTTTTGCTATGACTATAAACAAGTCCCAGGGGCAATCATTAAGTGTTTGTGGTATTAATCTAGAAAACCCATGTTTCTCACATGGTCAATTGTATGTTGCCTGTTCCCGTGTTGGAAAACCATCAGATTTGTTTATCTATGCGCCAGGTAATCAAACAAAAAACATCGTATACTACAAAGCACTACAATGATAATAATAATAATTATGATTCACATGATTAACAATAAAGCGATTACTTACTTTTAAATCCTTATATATGTTTTATTTAATTATTTTTTATTCACAACGCTCTATCACCAGGGTGACGGTTCTGTTCAGGAGAATTTTTTAAAATACGTAGGCACAAAAACTGCCACATTACAAATCTTTTTGACAGGACGAAGTCTGTCGGGTCATCTTTTTGACAGGACGAAGTCTGTCGGGTCAGCTAGTTATATTATATTATGATTTTTTTTTATTTTATGTATATATAATATGTATTTATAGATTGTTTTGCAATTATTATTAACAATTAATAAATTGTATGTATAATATATGTATTGAAATAATGCTTTACGCTAATAATTTTTAAACCATTTTGTCCCATCTTTCATATAATAATAAATGAATATAATATACCATGTTAATAAATTAATTTAAAAAAACGCGGCAATTAATTTTGGAAGTATAATGACCCCCGAGTGGAAATGGCCGCTAGAGTCGCGCCGGTCACCGGCCAGTTTTCGTTGCCGCGACTATAATATGTGTTTTGTAATATTACACTAATCAAGTCCAACGTTGTATACTAATGTCAAACAACCTAATGGCTATGGGAAACCTGTTAAAATAAATTTTCAACTACAAGTACTTTGAGATGACTTAAGCTATAACAATGATATTAAACTAAATAATATGATTTATAATGCATAATTTTTCATCGATTTTACGTTGTTAAGTGCCTTTGAAAAAATACTTCACTTGGTACATAATCACGATTTTTCCTTGAGAGAAAGATTTTTTTCTATACATAGTTTACGATCGCGTTAAAATTGACTGTAAACAGAAATTATTGTTGTCAAATTACAAGTTTATTGGTTGTTTTATTTTTATTTTTTGTATTGCTCTAGATAAGACTCCTATACATGGGTGTATTAGTACGGATACGCGAGTATACCCGTCAGCAGATTTTCGATTTTCGGCGTACTCCTAAATACTCATTTATATGGTGACAGTCACTGTCAAGGAACTGTCATGATGAAAATTATTTGGTAGTAACTGTCATTACACTATGATACAGTGGCGTAACTGAGAATATTTGATCAAAATAAATTTGTAGGGTAAACTTGTGGGGGGGCCTTTGCCAACGGTGTGAAGATGCCGAAAATAAAAACGTAAACTTTTTGAATAATATCGAAAAACTCAATCGCCTCTTTTGATGACTTAACTGCATCATTTACAATAAGATTTAAAGAATGTGCACTACAAGGAACGAAGAAAGCGCGAGGATTAATATTGCGAATTCTTCGTTGTACACCAGAATGTTTGCCTTTCATATTCGCTCCGTTGTCATATCCCTGGCCCCTCATATTTTCAATTGGAATTCTCAAGTCCTTCAACTGCTGTGTAATAATATCAGAAAGGCCCATTCCAGTACTCGTTTCTATTGGAATAAAACCGAGAGAATGTTCACAAATTGTAACATTTGACTCTTTTTTTGACGATTCAACAAATACAAAACGAATAATAATGGTCATTTGTTCAACGTGGCTTAAATCAGGAGTACAGTCCAAAATTATACTGTAATATTTCGCTTCCTTAACCATATTAAGTATGCGTGTCTTAATAGCACCAGATATTAAGCTTATGATTTCATTTTGTATGTCTTTTCCCAAATAATGAGTTTTATTTTTAGTATTCATTGTTCGTCTAACATGTTCGGACATTATAGGATCATATAACGCCATAAACTCTATAATTTTTAAAAAATTGCCGTTGTTTTGTTTGTAAAGTTGATCTGATGAACCCCGAAATGCTAAATTTTGTTGACCTAAAAGCTGTATTACTGACACGATTCTCTGTAAAACCGTATTCCAGTATTTTTTTCCCGATTCAAATATGCGTTGATTAGAGTCATCAATCGTTTTTTTAGCTTTTAATCTTGAAGAAAATTCTATCCAAGTTTGATGTGCTCTAAGATGGGAATTTGATGTCTCGTGTTCTTTTAAAATAATAGAAACGTGTCGCCAGTCGTTATATTCATCTGTTCCTAGTTTAGTTTTTGAAGTTGAAAACAGTTTACAGAAATAGCAAAAAATAACATTCTTGGACAAGGAATAGACAAGCCATGTTCTTAGAATATTTTCTCCATTACTCAGACAACGTTGATAATTAAAAACTGTAAATCTACGATTATTGTCATCTAAAGGAAATACAAAAGTTTTGGCGATGGGTGAAGGAGGACCTTTTTCAACGATTGTTGTTTTTAACTTATCGCTTAAAAAAGTTGGCCAAGTTACAGGATCAGTGCCTATAATTAACGTTAGTTCTTTAGATTCAGATGAAATTAAATGGTTTGATGAACGTTTAATGAGGTTAACGTTTTAGTAAAGGCAATGTCGGTTTCTATCGGATTTTCATCAACTTGGTCAGAAGTTAGAATAACAGAATTTATAACTATTTATGTAGATGTATTTTGAGTATGATAAGTAATTATGTTATTACTCGCAGATATAGATTCATGTAGAACAGTAGACTTTTGGAAAATTTTTTTCAATGATCCTGCTTGTTTTTTTATATTTGCTTCCTTTTCAGCTTTCCTTTTTTTATACTCACAACCCGAAAGACGTTGCCTGCCATCTGACATATTTATCAAATCCGAATAAACTAAAAAAGGATAATTTTTTTTTTAAAAAGTGGTAAAAAAATACAGTGAAATTATATAGACAATTTTCTAATATTCTTAATTTTTTTAAATACTTAAATATGCGTTATTTAATGTAGCAAAACAATATAAATTTTAATTATACAGTTTCCCTAGGCCCTAGGGTTATGAATTATATTTATAATAAAATATTAAAATTATAGAAGCCCCAGCACCTCACTATCTCAGTCCTAATTACAAATAATCTTTAAAATTATAATTATTGTTAAAAACTTGTATTGTATTATGATTCAATGATGATTATAATGATTCAGTATCTAATATTTATAAGCAGGTCTAGGATTTTAAAGCAAATGTTTCTTTTTTTATGTATGAAATTTTTATACATAAATTCGTTTTACGTCATTCTGATTCCAAATAAACCAATTTATTTTAGCTTTTTTGTTATTTATTATACTTTAAAATCCGAGCCCTACTTATAAGTAATTTATATTTTTAGTGTAATTTCGAATAAGAATAAACAATCTTAACTTACCTCGCAAATCACAATGTAATAACTAATAATTAATTATTGTTCGTTTTCTGTCACTAGGCTGCTGTAAATGTATTACGTGTGTGTTTGTCAGTGGTCGAACTACAATTAATGTCGTCTATTGCAGTCGTTACATCTTACAGTCGTTGCCCTATAAATTAAGACGGCGGCGGCGCGATAACGAAAAACCAGGGATTCCCGTTCCATCTATATTGGTATATTTCATAATGCTTGGTGCATTATCGATACGTGGTACGCCGCGCGCCGTCACCTAGTCCAAAAGCCGCCGCGACGTCCGTCTAATGTACATTTATGTATCACAATTATACCGGTTTGTCTCAGGCGGCAGGTGAGCAATACGGTACCTAGGCAATAATTATTAATTACTGATAACGCACTACACATATTGATGACGTGCTCACATAAAAAATTTTAATTTAATATAATATACAACAGAAAAAATAAATTACCACAAACTTTTAAGCATATTTTTATTTGTATTGTTTGTATTTTATAATTATCTCCTTGCCCATATTGCCGCCTCTGTAATATTGCCGCCCTGTGCGAATGCACTGCCTGCACATGCCTTCCGCCGGCCCTGGGTATAAGACAATATATAAATACAGCTCATGGGGGGGGGGGGATCTATTCCCCACATTCTCCCCGTAATTACGCCCCTGCTATGATAGTACTGTCACACTATCTAGCTATGCTAGATAGTGTGACAGTACTATCGCGCTTGCATGACAGTAGTTATCGTAGAACCATTGATTATAGAATAGAATATTCTATAATCAATGGTAGAACTAAATATGTTATCGTGTAAACTGTTTACACATTTTTGTCATAGTGTTATCTATTATAAGCACGTATCCAATAGAGTGTAATCGGTTAATTTAAAATTTAAATATCTCAATTATAATAGATAGTCATGTTCTCTAAGCTATTTGTCATTAGAATTTCTTAAAAGCTATGAAGAACATCCATGTTTGTGGAACAAGGCCATAATAGATTTTCATAACCGATTGTACCGAAGTATTGGAAATTTCTAAGGCAGATCTTTCTATCCATTTCCTTACCCATTCTCTTTCACTACTTTTAGTTTTTAGTTTTTGTTTCAAAACAATCATCTCACCAATGACTCTAATCATTGCAACATCTAACCTAACCTAACCTAACACTGGTTCGAACATTTTTAATTTAGATGATTATTTAAATATTAAATAACGAATAATAATTAATTAAAACAAAATCAAATTAAGTTTAAAAATTTCAAAATGTGAGCACTTGAATCAAAAAACAATTCAATAGTACTACAAAAATCATTCACTGTCAGTGGCTATCATTATCACTATTTATATAGCAGTGTCGGCTTGGCCATGGACGTTAGGACACGAATGCGTCCGGGGCCCTGACCGTGGATTGGGTCGAGGGGCCCTCGTTCCCCAAGATATTAAATTATTAATATCGTAATAATTTAATTTCTAGTAGCCTTCAGTGCAAGTGTACAATATGTAGATGTATCCAGTGGTGTAGCCAAGGGAGGGAGGGCTAAGGGGGCTATAGCCCCCCCATGGGCCGTGTTTATATGTATAATGTATCTTGACCATTTAATAGAATCAATGGATGCTAGTTTTATTTAAAGGCTTATTGATGTTATGCCACTTGAAGGACTTATTCCGGCAAATTTAAATATGTATGACGATAAAAATATTATAAAAGCTGCTAAAATATATGTCCAAGATCTCCATGATGATACTTCATCTGCAATCAGAGCTGACCTGTTCATATAGAGGTAACAATGGAGTCAAAATACTATTCCAAAACCAAATTCTGCTCTTGATTCACTCTCTCATCGCACCAATCTTCGACCTAACATTAAAATACTTTTACAATTATTCGCCACGTTACCAGTTACCTCTTTCACTCCAGAAAGAACGTTTTCAACACTTAATTGCTTAAAATTTTTTTTAAGAAGCACCATGTCGGAAAACAGATTGAATGGGTTAGCTATGGCTAATATAAATAAAAAAGAGCAATTCGATGAAAGTGAAATAATAACTGAATTTGCCAGAAATTCGCCTAAGAGGATGCAGCTATAAAAGTGGAGCAAGTGATTGAACACTGAAACCAAAATTATTATTATTATTATAAATTATATATTAATAAATATTTTTAAAACTATACTAAAATGCTTGAATTACGTTTAGAAACTTGGTGGTAGATGGTGGGGGGGGGGTTCAGGGTGAATTCTCATATCCTCTCTTACCTTACTTATCCAAAAAAGTGGTTAGACCCCCCACTTGAAAATTCTGGCTACGCCACTGGATGTATGTAACTAATAACCACACTTAACAGACAATCACAATTGTTAACAGTTGTTGACTGCAGCAAAAAAACATTTTAAAAACAACAAATACTTACTAGAAATTATGATTTATGTTAAAGTGTTATCTATGTGAGCGAGTTTTATTATTGTAAATTTATTGTTATCGAATGTCAGACGGAAAGACCAATGTACCTACTTAGTACCCAGTGGCGTGGCGAATGATAATTTCAGAGGCAATTGCCTCTGAGATTTTTTCAAATAAGGGGTAGGTGTGTTAAATACTCGATAGGTTGTCAAATACTGATCTGAATGTGATCTTAGTTGCATTAGATTTGTATGCATTAATCATATCAGTTTATGATTAATAAACATTTGAAGAAAAAACTCATAAAATTCGAAAGGTTTTACTCTTTTTGGTTTTTCATTTGTTTGTTAATTTCATTACATCTTATTATTTAAATACTCTCGGCAATTTGTTATATTATAAATTATAATATTATTTTTTTTCCTTTTTTTATAATAGGTACAAACCTTTATATTATTTATTTATCAATAACAGTGCCGTAGCCCCTCTAGCACGTCCTCCCCCCCACGAAATCTTAATTATATAAATTATTGAACATCAGTGAGAATTAAAATTAAATAAATTAAGACGGTATGACATAGGTGTAATTTAATTCTATGTGTCGTATAAATTAGGTAATTTTGCTATGAATAACCATCTCTATTCTATGCGAATAACTATAAAAATTAATTCTCACGAAAAGCAGTTTTTACAGTATCAATATCAAAGTAGGTATTACTAGGTAATTTTTAAATTATTTTAATTGTAACATTCACACTTGTAACATTCGCGCGTAACGAAACGCCATAACGTGAATCTGTAGTGTTACGTGTTGCGATATCATTATTTGTGTGTAGGTGATGCGGTGTGGCTATGTTGTGTAGTGTTCTATGTTTATTTATTTATTTACTTTGATTTTTGATTTTTCTCGTCTCATTGCAGATAATAAGCAGGGTTGGACTAGGCCACCGGGGCACCGGGGCATGCCCCGGTGGGCTGCTGTAATTTTGGTTAAATAAAATAACTTAGATTTTTTTGTTTTTAATTTAATGCGTCTATCTTCTATTCGTAAAATAAAATAAAAAATATCGTCTTGTAACATGACATTACTAATGGATGCGGTGACACAGGATTAGGTAACTCGGAGTTTGAAAATTTAACATTTTTAATGTCGCGATATGGCAATTGATAACAAGGATATCATCAGAATATTTATAAATAGAAAAATTGTAGGAAATTTGAATACAAAAGATGTGTACAATATGTTAATCATACGAAGTACCGTTCGCGTTTGTTCAAACAACATTTTATTAAAATAAAATGTTGGTATGGGTTATGGTCTTAGAAGATTAATTTTCTAAGACCATGGTATGGGTAGACATTGTCAAGCAAGATATGCGATAACGAAATTGTTTTTCGATAATAATAATTTTTATAAGATTTATTAGACTTTTATTCAAAAGCATTTTAATAGTTTTGACGTTTAGTCAATAACAAGTCTGTTACTATTTTCCAACCTTAATGGACCTTTGGGCCACATTCACAAATTAAAAATGGTTCTAGAGCCAGACAATATAAAAAATGTATATGATATTCAACGATATTTGCTAGTTTTGAAATTTACTGTGGGCCGCATTTTTTTTCTCGTGTCAGGCATCATATAATTAAATTTAAAACAAACATGTAATTTATAAAACAAAAATAAATAAATAATATCAAATAAGTAAAATATGAATAATAATAACACACTTATATAATGGTAACAAGTATTGCATATTAATTCAGTGGCGTATTTACGGGGGGGGGGGGTCCAAGGGGGCCGGCCCCCCCCCCCCCCCATTGACTCGTGACTCGTACATGTAAATGTTTGTGATTTTATATGTTTATTTTATACGTTTAATAAAAACAAATTATATCATAGGATATGACATATGTCGATATGAACAATTTTGTAAAAAAATTTCGAAGCGTCAGTATTATCAACATTTTCAATTGTTATCACGATTTTTCGTTATCAGTTTGGAACCAAACATGGTTGAAAAATACCGAGTTCTTGGTTATTAAACAAACGCTCTGCTTTTATCAAATTAAATTAAATGATAGCGGTAGCCGGTAGATAACAATGATGACGGACGGTTTTTCTTATTTATGATTATGCATTACATGATCTTCAAAACCGTTCGAATTCGAAACTTCGCTGTGTCGTTTTTTGTTTAATTAATCTTTCAAAAATTCAAAATGAACAACACACCTAAAATAACAACTTTTTTCACTGCGATTCGGTCTACAGAGTCCACTTGTAGTAGTGCGACCCCTAGCGAGACTGCCGAGACTTTAAATCTGTAAAGGTCTATCGACGAAGACGGTGAGCAAAGTTTGAATAAGAAATTAAATTCTCAGGTATGTTACTGTTTAAAATCTGAATTTATTATTATCTTGATTATATAATTGAAATCTATAGTTGTTAAGCTTGCTTTCCTCATAGACCATAGTTGTATATTTTGCTAAATGCTTCTACTTATATTTTATATTGTATACTATATAATATGTGGAATTTGGATGGACTATGGTATTTATGCTACTGGGTGCCTTATGAAATTTGCTTGGCGGTATTTGACATTTAAATATATAAAGAATGAAAATGTGAACAAAAATGACAAAGTAACAACTAAATTGTAAATTGTATTATAAATATGGTATATTTATATAATAAAGAGTAATTGGGGGGGGTATGGGGGGCAAAGCCCCCCACGGCTTTGTATTCTGAAAATTATCTGGACCCTCCCCATAAAAAATTCCTAAATACGCCACTGTACTAATTATATCTTTTCTTTTGTCCAATATATGGCTGTATTTACCGCCTTCTTGTTGCTTATCATAAGGTCCTCTTGTGTACATGGGCTTGGCCCTCTTGGACAGACAAGTAGGTGTGACGTAGTCTGCTCTTGTCCACATATGCAAGTTATGTCTTGTTCTCCATATCCCCATTTTCTCATATTTTCTTTTGTCCGACCTACACCAACACGCAGTCTGTTCAGTGTCTTCCATACCGGCCAGTCTAGGTTGTTACCAGGAAGTAATCTTTCTGCTGGTTCCAACCATCTTTTACCATTGGTAACCGTGGGCCGCATAAAAGAGACATTAGTTGCCGACCTCACTGTTCTAACTCAATTAAAATTAAATGTATGAACATATTTATATCAAATCATTTTTTATGGTGTAAAATTTATCTTAATAGGCAGGTCATTATATCAATATTATAGATAAGATATATTATGCGTAAACTAGATTAATTTAAGGTATAACATTTAATCTGAAAATATTCAAATGTACTTGTGTGAATATTGTTTTTTGAGTTACGAAGTTACATTTTCAGTTAAACAATAATTTGATCAGGTACCTACCTATTTATAAAGTTCCATTGAGGCCGTTCGAAATTATTTTGCCCGGGCCGAGCTATAAAGCTTGTCCAATCCTGATAACAAGCCAAGAATTTTTTTTTACATTTATCAGCAGTAAACCCAATATCTTTTGTTATTTCTTCCAAAGCATCATTTCTTTTGATTTTATTATAATATTGAGGGTATTTTGCATACTAAAGTTATGGTTTTTGTTCATACAATTCAATAAATTGTATTGTATTTTCTTCATTCCACTCCACATTGAAATATTAAGTTACAAAAATTAATTACAGACAACAGTGTTTACGACTTAAAGCGTGTAGCGTGACGTTCAGAATACAAATAATGCGTTGTTGCGAAGTTGCGTTATTATTTACGTCCACACTTTTCGTAACCTCACCTCGCAACAATCTTTTGATGCGGTTCAAATTTACCGACAACTCGTGAGACGCCGCGTAACTTCGTCGCGTATCAACTTTTGTTACGCGACGGTGTTACGCCTTCACGTCCACACAGCGATTGCTGTTACGCGTCTAAGTTGCGTTACGGAGTTTAGTTACGCGCGAATGTTACAAGTGTGTACGCGGCTTAATATATATAATTTAAATAGCCATTGGGTAAATTATTGTTTTATTTGCGTGTACAATACAAAAAAAAGGAATTACGTTTGAATCATATATTTACATTATCATAATTTGTCAATCTTATTGGCTAGTTTAGTTTTTAATACCGTTGATAATGAACCGATAATAATACCAATATGATGTTATCGACATATCGTTGTCATCTTTGCCATTCTAAGAAATATACATTTTCTGGCTAAAAATAGACCACAGCAAAATTGAAATAATATATTATCTTTCACCACTATCCTGAAATCATATAATGATACAGTTGAATACTGCTGCTGAGCTGCCTGATGTATCATTGTTAGAATCGATTTTATTTTTCGATGTATGTGTATTGTTAGTAGTGGTGGGTATATCCAGATTATTCAACTTGATTTTGCTGTTCAATGACTCATTTTTATATACTTATAATATTTTAATAATATAACATTTTGTTAAATTTTCATTATAATAAAATAATTTATTTTACCATACATTAAAAATATTTGTAAGTCTGAAGTCACATAAAAAGCAAATCCATAAATCCGGATACTTCGGGAAATCCGGGTAAGAATTTGATTCAAATCCAGATTTGGATATCCGGATATTCGGATAATTCAGATATTCGGATTTCATGCCCATCCCTAATTGTTATGTCCCATCGGTTAGTTCCAACGGAAGACAAATATGTTCATAAATAAGAATGTTTAACACAAAAAAACACAGCAACTGACGAACTATTTATATATATTAAGTTATAATAATGACATAGTATTAAGTTTAATTATTAATATAAATGTGGTCGACTGACGTATGTTGTTTATGTTCGACTGTCCTCGACTGCCTGAGCTACTTCGGCAGACCGATGGTGATGGCTGTCGATGAAAATGCGACTCAGCATTTATGTACTTACTAACTAATAAGCAATACTTTATAACAAGAAGGGGTTTTTAACCGTATTTTAAAATAATGTCTTCTAATGAACAATGCGATTATAATAAAAAAAAAAGGTGTTTTATGAATGATCTAAACTGGACTCGCCACATAAATACATGCCCTGTTCGTGAATCTAAAATAAAAAATAAAAATATTAAGTCTTTTTTTACTTTACCTCAAACCAAAAAAATATGTAATAATTTTACCAAAATATCGGAAAGTAAGTAATCTACTCTATTTAAATATTTTCATTGTTATATCTATTATATTATTTTATACTTATTAATGAAAGGTAATACAAATTACAATAGTTTTGATGTTGAGTGTAATAATCATACATCATCCTCAAGTGAATATGATAAACAAAACCGTGAAAAATCTACATTTGATGGTTCATCTTCTTCAGTTAAATAATATTTCCACAGTGATAATATATTATAATAGTCTTATTTCAAAAACATTGAATAATGATTACCTTGGTAATAGAAATTGGTACAATAATTAAACAATTCAGTTTACTGCTTTAATGACAAATAATGGTACCATTAGTCAGTGGCGTATTTTCAATTTTTTTCTGGGGGGGGGGGTCCAATAATTCCAACATAATATAGATATGTAGGTACTGATATAAAAAAATAGTTTTTAATAGATTATAAGAATAAAAAATAGTTTTTTTATTATATTTTATAATTTTAAAGTATAAAATCTAAACAATTATAAATGATTTCAATGAACTTTGTTTTATTTTTTTATTGGAAGACATATTTATTCCAATTCCAATTACCAAACAATAAATAGATGCAAATATAGAGCTATAAAAAAAATAAAAAAATAAATTTGATAGTATTTATTAAATAATTATTAAATGTTAGGTTTTGTCAAATCTGTATTCACACCTATCACAAATGAGAGACCCTTGTATTTAAAAATAAATAGGTATTCTATATTAACTAATTTTAAACAAAAGGTTATTAAAAAAAAAATCATTGTATTCGACGATTTGCAAGACGATTATATGCAATACCTATGCATTTTATATCAGAGACATTTATGAACCGATATACATCACAGAGACACAGGGTACAGATAGATTTTTAAAGAAAAAATAATATGATTTTGTATATAAAAGTTCAGTATATAATATAGGTTAAACGAATATTGAAGTATGCCTCGTAGCTCTGATAGTCGTACCTATATCAATAATTATTCTCAGTACACGTTGACAATTAATATTGTTTCTATAGCAGTTTAATAATATGTTGTCAACTTCGTGTTAAAACGTAAAAATAGGTTTACATTATAGAAATATGACATTATGACAACAGTCGTCCATATCACTCTGCTTATCTCTGGACAGAAAATAAATATTACGTAGGTAAACATGGTTCTAAATGAATACTAATTGTCGACCAGTTGACTCCAAAAGTTACATTAATGTTTTATGTTATTATTAAAAATAATAAATTCCTTACGGCTCACATCAGATCAATGAGCTATTATTATTATTTACTAATTTATTATATATTTAGTTGGTACTTACGTAATAGATCTAATGTATTTTATTGAAAAAATGTAATGCAGTTCGCACTCGTAGCCGACGCCGTCGTTCAGTAACGAAATACAAACATGAAGTAAATGGTTCTACGACAATTTCCTTGTTTAGTTGTTTACAAAGCAAAAATTCATATAGATTAATAATAGATATCTATATTGTCCTATAGAAATAGTTTATTGGAGAATGATGTGAGTCGTCAATTCCTGGCGATAAGAATGTTTTGACTGTTTCGAGAATTATTGATGTTTATCTAATACGGGTATTTTATAAAGTGGTAATACATACAATACAAGGAAAAGTTTAATTACGTTGGCGGCGGGTTTTTGATCGTTCGACTGTTGACTAATTTTAAACTATATTTCATATAAATATTTTGTTCACGGGAAAAAAACATGTCCGCGCGTGCTTACATAAATCGGGGTCTGCAAATATGTAAGAATTTTTTTTTTTTTTGGGGGGTTTTGGGGGGGGGCCCGGACCCCCGGGCCCCCCCCCCCCCCCCCGTAAATACGGCACTGCCATTAGTTGTACCATATTGTCCATATTTTATACTTATTGATATTCATATTTTTATTTAAAACAATATTTTAATGGAAAATTAAGTAATTGCCAGTTTAAACTATTAATTTTAAAAATTTATTGATAAAGGTCGGTAGTTAATTTGATTCAATATAAGATTTTAGCATTTTACATTTAGGTATTTTACTGAATAAAATTTAATAAAATATTTAAACACAATTTATTAATTACCTAACCATTTGATACCTTTTTAAATATTTTATCATATTATTTTAATGGAACGTAGACTTGTAATTTAACTAATTTTTGATTTAATAATAACAAACTACCTATCTATAATAAAGATTTACACTTAAATTGTATTTTCACATACCTACCTACTAAAACTAGTACTGATATATTTGAATTATTATAGAAGTAATGAATAATAATGATTTTGAAAATGATAACTTAACTTATGAAGAACTAATTGTCCTTGCTACATCAACTTGTCTTCCAGTTCCAGGTAATCAATAAAATATATTTTTTCTATCAAAGAATCATCATTACCGGTGGGTGGGTGGGTACTTGGAGTATTTGTAACTCGCCTCTGAAAATTTATCAGTTTGCCACGCCACTGCTAATACCTATATTTAGAACAGTTTAACCGTAACTGTCCGACAGAATTTTGAATGACGTGTGTCCGTGTTGTTATTTATTCTGTTATTCGATAATATTTTGTGACTACACTATAAGATACTGTGAATTGTGATATCCTCAATCAGTGTTTTATACATATTATTTAAAATTTTCTGTTTTTTTACGTACATTGTTCTTTTAAATGTTTTTAGAAGTTAAATACATATTGATTTGATATGAGTTATGAGATATGAGTTTACAAGTCAGGCTATGAAAAATGAAGTAAGAAAAATGAACAATTGCTTCTAGAAAGTGGTTCATCTTCAAATCAGACAAAAATTAATTTTCAAC